CAACCCGCTAAAAAGGTGGTATCAGAAGACCAAGTACTTTATAATGGATAACTGGCAAAGGGTCTGGGTTATGATGTTGTGGCTTGGCATTGTGGGAGGTTTGTTTGCATATAAGTTTGTGCAGTACCGCAACAAGGCTGTGTTCGATGTGATGGGATACTGTGTTTGCGTTGCTAAAGGAGGTGCAGAGACTCTTAAATTCAACATGGCTTTGATTTTGCTGCCAGTGTGCCGAAACACCATCACTTGGCTTAGAAACAAGACTAAATTGGGTGTCGTTGTTCCTTTTGATGACAACCTGAACTTCCACAAGGTAAGTGATAACTATTACCAAGTAACTTGTACATAATGCTCAACATTATCTAATGAATTAAAGTCTTCTGTTACTTTTTGGAATAGTGATTGAGCATCGTAATCTGAAATTAGATTGTTCTTATAATGTAATGTTAATATGCAGGTTATTGCGGTTGGAATCACCATTGGGGTGATCCTACACGGAGGCGCCCATTTAACCTGTGATTTCCCGCGGCTTCTTCATGCCACTGAAGAAGAATATGAGCCCATGAAGCCTTTCTTTGGGGAGGAGCAACCTGAAAACTACTGGTGGTTTGTGAAGGGAGTAGAAGGTGTCACTGGCATTATAATGGTGGTGCTAATGGCCATAGCCTTCACACTTGCCACTCCTTGGTTCCGACGCAACAAGCTCAACCTTCCCAAGTTCCTTAAGAAGCTCACTGGGTTTAACGCATTTTGGTATTCCCATCACCTTTTCGTTATTGTCTACACTCTCCTCATTGTTCATGGCATTTACCTGTACCTCACCAAGAAATGGTATCAGAAAACAGTAAGTTTTTTTTTCCCTTCTTCGTTCCATCGCTTAATTCATTGGATATATTATTAGTACAATGTCATTGACAGCAGTCAATCTCCATAATTTAATTGCAGACATGGATGTATCTGGCTGTGCCTATTACTCTTTATGCCTGCGAAAGGTTGATTCGAGCTCTTAGATCAAGTATCAAGGCAGTCAAAATTCTCAAGGTGTATATAAAAGCCTATATCATATGCTTTAAGTATCATGCATTCCACCCAATTGCACTAAAAGTGTTCACTTTTCTTTGAAACATACTGATATTGCATTTCTTTTTCTTCATAAACATGGAAGGTTGCTGTCTATCCCGGAAATGTATTGTCACTGCACATGTCGAAGCCCCAAGGATTCAAATACAAAAGTGGGCAATACATGTTTGTCAACTGCTCTGCAGTCTCCCCATTTGAGTGGTATGTACTTTTTGGTCCTCAATAGCTCGCTCTTCACGATCACCCTTTACTTCAATTCTGCCGTTTATTTAACCAAACCAACCATTGGAAATTGCAGGCATCCATTCTCCATCACTTCAGCACCAGGAGATGACTACCTTAGCGTTCACATTCGAACTCTGGGTGATTGGACAAGGCAGCTCAAAACTGTTTTCTCCGAGGTTGGTTAAACTTGCTTGCTCCTCTTGGTTAAAACTTGAAACTGAAATCAAAGTGCCTTATCAGTTTTTGCTTGTATCGGATGTTGAATAGGTTTGTCAGCCTCCACCTGCTGGGAAGAGCGGACTGCTCAGGGCAGAAGGAGGAAACAATACTAGGTAAGGTTTCCTCATCCTTCTATGTAAGTTACTTATATATATAGATAATGATGTGTCATGATTGATTCCTAACGTATTAGAATCAGAGTACATTAAGATTATACATTATTTTCTTCTACTGAGAGTGACAATTGTATTAATCGATGCACAGCTTCCCAAAGATCTTGATCGACGGTCCTTACGGAGCTCCAGCACAAGACTACAAGAAATACGATGTGGTGCTCCTGGTGGGGCTCGGAATCGGTGCCACCCCCATGATCAGCATTGTCAAAGACATCATCAACAACATGAAAATGGAAGAGGATTCGGTTCCAGGACCCGCCTTGGAGAACGGAAATTACAGCAAGAACAAGAACAACAAAGGGTTCAAGACAAGAAAAGCCTACTTCTACTGGGTAACAAGGGAGCAAGGCTCGTTCGAGTGGTTCAAGGGGATAATGAACGAGGTGGCGGAGATGGATGAGAAGAGGGTGATCGAGCTCCACAACTATTGCACCAGCGTGTACGAGGAAGGAGACGCCCGATCAGCACTCATCACTATGCTTCAGTCGCTGCACCATGCCAAAAACGGTGTGGACGTCGTCTCCGGAACTCGTGTCAAATCCCACTTTGCAAAGCCAAACTGGCGTCAAGTCTACAAGAAGATCGCTCTACATCACCCTGACGCCAGAATTGGTCAGTTTCACTTCCACCTACCCCACCTTGTTGAAAGACTATCACTATCATCCTTATCATCAATATTATTGTTTACTTACTACCTTTTCCATCTATGAATTCAACGATTGCAGGAGTTTTCTACTGTGGGGCACCCGCACTAACTAAAGAGCTAAGACAATTAGCTTCGGACTTTTCTCACAAGACCTCCACCAAGTTCGAGTTTCATAAAGAGAACTTCTAACAAAACCCAGGGTGATGCTTCTTCTTTCAAAGTTCAATCATTTCTAGAGTTTCTTATACGGGGGAAAATATTCTTACATACATTTTAATTGAGTAGTTCCAAGTGGATATAGCTTTCTTTCTTCTTTTATGGGTTCTTTTTGTCCCTTATTTTTAACATTTTTCCGTATACATGAAAGTTCCTTCGTGTTGGAGGGATCAGAAATCATTGATTTAGTATTTACATTGACTTCTCTAGCTCTATGAGAATTGTAACAATTTATACTATTACATTAAAGTTTTTAGCCATAGTTGAATGGCCTCTTCTGGTTTTCCTCTTTTCCTTTCATGCTTTGGGAATTTGGGGTAAGTTCTAATCAAGGAGCTTGATCAAGAAAATTGAATAAAAAACTAAGCAGAATGAGGGGGACAATGAAGATCAGAGCATTTGACTTTAATGTTTGCCAGCAACTTTGTCTGATCCGATGACTTTCTTCTTTGGCTGCCACCTAATTAGCAATCTGCTCGGGTGGAACAATCCATGTTTGATTCCAGCTCTGAATCATATAAGTAAAGTTCGTTTTGGCCACATTTTGTGGTGCACCAAAGCCTAACAGTGCCCACAAATCCGTTATAGATTGAATGGGGCTCCTTACGTTGGGGGTGGAGGGATCAACATAGCTGCGTCCCATTTGATTTTGATTGAAAAGACAGGGAATCTCGTTTGTGAACAAGGATGATGAATATAAAGAGATAAATCTACCCCAAGGCAGGTGGAGGAGGGTCTTTACTCTTTAGAACCACTCGGCCCGAAGTGGAAAGACAGGCCTAGATTTGCCAATAAGTCAATACAAATTATTGCATTTGCGCAAGCTGCTGCTTTCGATTTGCGTTCTTTCAACAAGGAAGTTCTTCAAGTACCATTTCATCATGGAACTGCATTTCTTTGGATCACTCATCCAACCCTTTCTCTTAGAACCCCGAAATTCAGCTATCCAAGCTTATTCTTAACACACGTATATATAGATTGCTATGACGTGTCCCTTTTCTTCATTGCGACTCGGATGAGCCCTCCCTGCACAAACCCTCGTTATTTTTTCTGTGAGTTAGTATAAGTCTTCAAACAAGATAAAACATAATGCATATGTAGTTGTTTTATATAATCAGTCTATATATTACAAAAATTAATGGGCCTTCCAGATGATTTTGGAGATTGTGAAGAACGTATCAATGCAAATTCATAAATCAGAAAGTGTATCCCTAGCCACCAATCTAGAAACTAGCCATTCCAATATTTTGACCTTGCTTTCCAATCTCATATTTACTCTATAATAAATTCTTTCCTTTACAATATTTTCAATGCCGTGATGCGTTTGCATGATTCATGCATGCATATGGGTAGTTGATGGCCCCTACGCTCCTATGATCGTAGCTAAATTTATAAAAATAACTTCATACATCTTTTTGTTACTTGAAAATTGCCTTTGTACCATTTTTCCCATTATAATTCTCTTAATTATTGTCACCTTGTCGTTGACTTATCTAAATTTGCACTACTCAATTGTACTATTCAGGTTTTCTTAAGCTTCTTGTCCAGGAATTCGTTGTCAGTTAATCAAAAAAAAAAGGTTCAAAAGGGTGCACGTGCTTTAATAAAGGCAAGGATTTGTTCAGCTAATAAAAAAAATGAGAAAGTCAAAAGCAGGGAAACCGTGAAAAGAGGCCAGAAAAGTCAACCGATGACCCGGTCAAGCCGCGACAACTAATATTGCCTAAGCTGATTTCAAGTCGACTCAGCTACGTTTGGGTCACACCAGCTATGTGAGTTTAACCTATACTCAACGTTCCCCGAATCTTCTTGTCGACCAAAATACGCAAAATAAAGCAAAAACAATAATGTCACAATGAATATTATTGGTAAAAATATATATATATATTAAGATAACTTATAAATAAATAAATAAATACGCTATAAATTAGATGTAGATTCCCTTAAAGAGTCACTAGAAACTACATTACGTATCGGTGCTGTACTTCCCCAACTCCGTGCATGGCCCGTATGCCCGCAAATGAACATCTGGAAAAGTCCAAATCTCTGAAGGTCATTAACTGATTTCCTCTGAAACTATGTCGGAATCTGACCATTTGGGTTGCTGGGTTTCTCCCACTTCTTGCTGGTTTTTTGTCAAACATTGAATCACTTATCCATGAAGATAATCTGAATAAGATTGCCCTGTTAAATTTGGTACAGGTTTTGGATAAAACTTTCATGGTTCTTCCAATGTTTGTGATTTCTATAGAGTTTCAGCGAGGATTAAGCTCATGCCGGGAACAGTAATCTGTGCACACAGGACTTCGAAACCTGATAAATATATATATATGCTTTGGACATATATCTATTCTCTCCTTAAGACTCCTAATACTTCAATTATCAGAATAGTAGTTACCTACCATGAGAGATTCCTGTGTGTTGTGTATTTCATATGATGAATTGGAACATAAATCTAACGTTTGATAAAGCAAATTCAGAGTTTTGTTTTGGTAACTTTCTTCCCGGCATGACACGCTTTATTTTTTCTTTACTAGATATAGAATGGCAAGCCGGTGGCAAGGTACATCATCAGGGGAAAGGCAGAAAATAATCCCCTTTGAGTGAGCAACAAGCTGAATGTTTATCCTTACCTGACGATCACTTGCAGCTCCAGTTAGTCAAAAGGCATGGTCACTGCTTGCTTCATCCAGCTAGCATACAGTTGCATAGAAAATATATTAACTATTTATTACATAATAAGCCAATGACAAGTAGCTCTCAACTGACTGGTGGTGCAAGGCAGACTGCCTCCGAAGCCACCTCGGGGCCAGAGTGCCCATTGCCAACGCTTTGGAGTTTATCATCAAATCCCCATAAATTGGCGGATTTGATATCATCCTGGATCATTTGCTTGGAGAATTCTTCATGGTTGTACTGCAATACAGCCTGTCCTCCAAACTCACTTGGCAGATTTTCCTCATCGAAATATGATCTCATGAGCTCCACGCTGTCTTTGTTCTTGGGGTACACAAACTTCACCTTTTGGAAGGTTTTAGCATCCAGAAAATACTTAACAATCTGCCGAAATGAAAGCAATGCAAGTTGGTTAATTTCTGTTAATAAATCAAATCAGCATGAGCAGCAACTTATAATGCTAATGCAATACACTGACATGATGTCATTTAGCTTTGCAAACCTCATTCTTCACATTGTTTAAACCAACACGTCTACTCATAGTATAAGTCTAGAGACATTCAGTGCACTCAGTTAAGAATCAGAATGTGGTTACAACTGGGTAGAATTCAAACCTTCCAGAATGCTTCAAAAATTCTTGGAGGACTGTAGAGAAATGCTATAGCTAGCCTCTCAGGGTAGTGGTCTTGTAATACATTAATAGTGTCACGAGCAGACTTGATGGGCACGCTAGTGCTCAATGTCCATCCAGTGAAGTCTATCAACCATGCCATCTGTTCTTGACCCTCTGGAAGGTTTAGGATAGCATTCTCTATCAGATACACCAAATGGCGGAACTGATTGTCCAATGATGTGGTGTTCTACAACATTTTTTGCCATGTTAGTTTCCAAAATTTACAATAATTCAAAGATTTTAGTTTTGAATTACTTAAACCCATTACCTGTTTCCCTGGTCGCAATATAAGAACAGTCCTACCATGTCGGTCATGAAAATTTGCTCTGTATACTTTTCCGGTCTCACCTTCTACTGCAACTTCATGCTGACAACAAAACGATTGATGTGGTTAGGTAAAAATTAATCTCAGCAACTTATAGAGGAGCTATTTATTATAATTATATCAGTTAACCACCGTCATTAACCCTCTTTTATGAACATTAAAAGGAAGAAAAATATGTAACACAACTTAGTAACTCACCCAACGTATTTCCTCAGGCTTATAAATTGATCTCCATTTGAGTGTCTCTTCCAGCATTTTCTTTGATTTGTCAACATTCCAGTTTCGTGCTTCCATGTATCTCCTCAAGCAGGCATCAGTGCAATAGTTCAAACTGCGCCCAGATAGTGGTGGCAGTGAAGCTCTAAGCCCCTTGACCTGCTTTTGTTTTTATGTAAAAGCAAATATTAACCAAGAAGTGATCACAATCTACAGACAGAATAAAACAAATTTTAACAGATACTATTAGTAGATAGATCACATATTTACTGGTGCAAGATTTCTCAAGTTAGAGAGCAGCAAAAGGAGATCTCTGTAGACAACAGAAAGGTTTTGCCATAGTTAAATATAAATTCACTAACTTCTCAGACTCTATTACCTGGGATTCATTCTGCAATGAATCATTCTCTTGGTCGTGATTAGAATTGCTCCATCTACTAAACATCGTGATTAATCCTAGCAACTTAGTGCAATCTGCATAGCATTGCATAAGACTTGGGACTTATTCTTCAGAATTAATCAACTAAAACGGCTAGTAATCTGCTTTTAAGTAAACATTGATGTGAGAATCAAGAAACAAGCTCCTGTACACCTTAATCAGACAATTAGAGTCTATAAGGAAACACAACAAACAAGCAGACATTAAATCACGTCCAATAAAGCACCAAAATATCACACAAAATAGGAATTAAATCAAGAATAACAACGTAATATACAATATAAAACCACAATCAAATTAAAGAAAAAACTTACCAAAGGCAACAATCTTCAGGTTAAGCCGCTAGCAGAGCTGGATCATAAGAATCAGCCGTGAATTACGGGGTGCAGCTATGGCATATATAGAATTGAGATTACACTGCTTAGATGGCTGATAGTAGAACTAGATAGATGTTACAAACGAGGGCAAAAAAAAAAAAAAGATACTACAGGGTAACATACCTTAGGAACAGAGATTGAGTCCTCTGGGACATAAGCCTGAATCAGACATGAGAAGGGCCACCTGGTTTCATATCATTCCATCATATTAGTAATCATATTCTCCAAGTCATTGCCAATTTTCCACCACTACCCCGTCAAATCCGTCAAGTAGGCTATACTTATGGGCTATGGAGTCAATTCCTCAACAGTTACATTGACATAAAAAGTAGTAACCGTTAAAGTTGGTCACACATTTTACAAGTTAAATCAACGGAAGGGCCATGATTCAACAACTGCTAAAGTTTCCAACTATGGAAGAGAAGAAAATATATAAAGAAACAGCTGATCTCATACAAAGGGTTATTTAGAACAGAGCTTTATGATTTGGTTGTTACTCATGAAATGCTAACAGTCATATAATACTTAAATTAATTGGAAGAAAAGTATAAGATGCTTTATTCTACTACACATTAATGATGGAGGAAAAAAGATAATGCCTTTCACACCGGCCTATTAAGTAAAAGGAAACACTTGGTCGGTCCTGTCCCTCACTACGTAGTACCACTAGTTTGACCAAATCCTAGTGCTTGTTCCATTAACATAGTAGTAATGGTTTCATTTTCTTTAAATTTCTCCTGCTTTTATATAATTTTTTGTTAAAAAAATATATAGAATTGAACTAGGATAACCAAAAGCTCTGCATGTTTAAAAATCACTACAACTAAATTGTCAAATATTCAGTAAAATGCCAGCTGCAGCTGTTTCTGTGTTAGAAGACGAATCAAATGAGAAAGAGAAAAAACAATAGAGAGAAACACACTAGCCACTCAAATTTCCACATATCAATATGAAAAGGTAAATAAAATGAAAAAAGCGTCGGTATAAAGAAAAATAATAAAAAAAGGGTAGTCAAAGAAGTGGGAAAAGAAAAGAAAAGAAAAAACTAAGTTGCAGAGATGTTTTCCGGGCTTTAACTTCTTAACAAAAACATACCTCCTTCAGTCCTGCCTGTGAAGAAACAGATCAAATAGTCTTCTCTGCTTACCTCCCTCCCTCTAGAGAGAACAACAAATAGTGAAAAAAGAAAGAGAAAAAGAAAAGGGTTGATCACGAAATTGCCATGGAATTCTACCACACAACCAGCTAGGCCATAGAAAGAGTGAAAGGGAAAGGGAAAAGAGTTATAAATGACCCGATCTTGATTGGTTACCTTTTGGATAATAGTGAGTAGGTGCCTTTGGTGGTTAGCTCCAGATATTTTGCGAAAGTTTTTGGGGAGTCGTACGGTTTTTTGTGGTTTGCCTGAGTCTTTACGGCTTAGTTTTCTGGGGCAAAAGCTTAAGCCATATGCTGTTGACGTTTGTGAGGAAATGCAGACCTAATTTTGATACTCGATGGCACAGAAATCTTTCATTTCAGATTCAAGACACTGTAGCTTTTCACAGAGGCAGGACAGGGAAAAAGGCCACAGAATAAAAAAAAAGGGTGGAGTAAGTTAAATCCTTTTGTGTACTTCTTTGCTTCTTTCCTTTTTCTTTGCACGTGCATTCAATAGTAAAATCTTGAAGGATTTGCTATCTTCAATGGAATAAACAGGGGACAGATGGGGACACTAAATCCCTACTTGCCTTGTTAAGGTTAGGCCATGTGTTTTATGTGAGAAGTAGTAATTTTTAGGGAATAACACCGAACAAAATCATTTTAGTTATATAATATAAAATTAACTTTGGGTTCACAATATTTCTAAGTAAGTTGTTATGTAGTAAAATTCTGTAGCGTTTTACCATACTTTTACTATATATAAAAAAAAAGAACAAAAAGTGATCAACAAAATGAACTCAACAATCAGAGAGAATCAAAGTCAACGACATAGTGGACAAAATGGAGAAAAGAAAAAGAAAAACCAAGAGTGAAAAGGAGCTGAGAATAGAAAATGGTGTTTTAGGATTTAATGACGGAATCCAGAAGAAAGTAAGCGTTGAAACTGCTCCTAGGCAAAGTCCCCAGAAACATGTGGCATGCTGCAAATTTTCCATGTAAACTGATAGTGCACGCCTGACTTTTCCGATTGGTTGTCCATGCCATTCTAGAACTACCTCCTCGTCACCAAAATTATCTATTGCCGTTTTGCAATTATTAATTTCTACCAGATTTTCAAATTTACAAGTGTTCAGTATTTTAGATTAATTTAACCTCAGGTTAAGATTTAAATGCACATTTTGTAATTGTTTCCAAGTCTAGAGATCAAATTTTTCATTACCACAAAAAGAAGAGGTCGACATTTTATCTTAAATAAATAAACAAACTTGCCTGTGTCGGTCAAACGATGGCGCAAGCGGGCCCGGAAAGTGCTTGATGACCCCGGTGGCATTCCACGTCAGGGGTTTAGAAAAAGGTTGGCACGTCGAAAGAGGTATTTAAAAACAAGGCGGAAAAGCCAAGAAACACCTACCACGAAGAAAAATGAAAATATTACAAAAGCAAAATCCCAAAAATTAGAAAGAAAAATTATTTGATGCTGCGGTTAATGATATCAGATTCCATTGGAAGAAAGCACATGGCGTGCCAGTAAGAGCACATATTTCCCTGGAGATATGGCCGTGCAAGGAACAGTCTAGTTCTGGACCTTAATTCCATTCTTTGGCTACTGGAAATCCCAAGCATGTTGCGAAGAATGGTGCGTCAAGCACTACATAAAAGCGAAAATAACGAGAGCATCGAGAAATAGATACAAGAGAAGAGAAGAGAAGTATGGGGAGCGAGCCTATATTTCCCACCTTGACACTTTTTGTTCGTCTCTGTAATCAGAACTCTATATACCGGACTGATGGATAAAGCTGCTTCTACTTCCAAAACTCACTTCCACTACCCTCACATTTCACTGTTATACATCTTCCACATGTTGCCATTCAGTAAATAATAGACGTAGACAGATTTTTTTTTAAATAATCAATATTACAATGTTCATTCTAGTAAAAGATGTTAAAATAATAATTTTTCCTAAAAATATCTATAATGTTAATTATGGATAAAAGCGATCATTAACAGATATATCATTTATATCATGTCATATTTACCATTTGCGGTCATTGAAATGGCAGGCCAGTACCGTGGCCGATCTGGCAGCCTACGGCCACATCCGATGAGAGCTTTTGACTCCATCTCTTCCTCTCCTCTCTTCATCCCTCACTTCCTCTCCCTATTCTTCCCAAACGTCTGCCTCCCCTACTTTTTCCAGCGCCGCCACCGGTTTTGTCGTCCCCCTCCGCCGCCATACTCTCCCTCCACCCCATCTCGCCTGGTTCCAACTTTTTCTCTCTACTGTTTATTCCCCCTAAAATTTTAAAACAAAATAATAAATCGAAACAAATTTGAAAGGTTAGAAATTTGTACCCAACCTGCTCGAATACATTACCACCGGGCATCACGTTTCCTGATCATTGATAAATAATAGGTTCAGCAGCAGCGCAACAGAGTTCGAAATCCTTCAGTACTCTTTAAGATTTAGAACTACCAAGGATCCAGGTGGACTCGAACCACCACCCTCCCAAACCTGAGCGTTTGAGCGCTCTACCAATTTTGAGCTTATGGATCCACATCAGGGACGGTTCTAGTTCCATCAATTTTATTACCCTTCTTTCTCAACCACTCCACTCCCCATTTTGTTCAATAAGAGTTGTAAGCCCAAGAAAATTGCCTTCACCAACAACCACCAGAGCTTTGCACCCCTTCATCCCCTCTTTTCTAAAGACAAGATAAACATCTTTTTGACTTTTTAAACTCTGTAAACGAGTTATATATTGCCAGGTGTCAACTTTCCCAAATTATATTAGGAATCCAACTAATAATTAGCAGAACCCTGGACAAACAGTACGAGCCTCCCTGTCCAGGTTCCACAATGACATATGAATTAAATCTTTCCTTATTACTCCATTTTCACTCTTATCGCCACTTCATAACCAACGAAAATACCAATGCGTTCAAGAAAAATGCCTTTGCATAATGACTATTGAAAACTTAAAAGCTAGTATAATGAAAATCCCTGGAAGAAAGAACAAATGAAGTAGGGAATTATAGGATAAAAATTAGAAGCAAAAAAATGGCCGGAACACAAAATAAAGAATTACCATCTAACAAATTTAAGAACATTACACGTACAGAAGCTAAAAAACTAACAAAAAAATGGCTATACCTCTCAATTAAAAGAAACTTAATCAAAGCATGCAGAAGATTTGGAGATCATCAAAAACTTATCATAGTTCTCAGTAACTCATTTAAAAGAAACATAATCAAAGCATCAAATAATGGTGAGAAGGTATGGATAGTTATTGGAATGAACTCTGATTATATCATGGGAGTGACACAAGGCCAGAAAGAGTTTCGTTCTGCAGGAATCCTGAAACAAATTTTCTTCTGCAATTTCATGCTAAAATCCCTGGCAAGATTAGGCAAAATGTAGCATTTTAACCGAAACGCAATCATAAACAGACTTTTATATCACCAATCAAGTTCGCAAGGTTTTAAAGCAAAATAAAAACTATTCACAGAAACTTTTTCAAATATTCATTCAGATTTAAAGGTTCAACGCTTCTATATGCATGCAAACTCAATAATGAAAACGCAATCGCCATAATGAAAGTATTCGGATAAAGATTTCTTCGCCTACTTTGTGACAGCTCTAGCAATTATCTGTAACAGAATACAGCTAAATTTGCTAAAAAAAAAACTGCAAAGCAAACACCTGCCAAAATGATTGAAGGCGTAACCGTTACCGCATGTGGTGCTCAATGTGACTGACTAAAGGTCTCCAAGGGAGTAAATTCCAAAAGAGTTAAAACATAGACCTACAAGGCATATCCAACAAGGTAATAGGCAAGCCATCAAATAGAAAACACTATAACTGATGTACATGCAGTAAAGATCCAAAAATCAGCTTACCTTCCAGAAAGGATTAGAAAGCAGGAGACTCCAAAAACATCTATAACTATAAGGCGCTCGACCATGAAGCCAAGTTGCTATCAGTAACATCTTGACATCAGCCTCAAATAGAAAGGATAACGTAACTTTCGATCAATGAAAAGGCATCTCATTTGGTGAATTTATGCATAATCATGCCAAGCAATGCTACAACAAAATATAACTCAACCCTCCATACATTTTACAAGAGACCAATCACCACTTCTCTTTAAGCAAATTACAAGCAAACTCTAGACAGCAAGCTCATATCAAATCAAAGGGCAGTAACCACAGGCTCGGTAGCATCAACATAAACTTCAATCCCATAATTCTAGGGGATGTTATTGAGCTTTTATTGCCAATCATATAAATGACAGCATGTGAAATGTATGACAAACTTTTACACTGAGAGTGAGTTTAATATGTGCTCAATATAAATTAGATTAAACTCAATTCTTTCATGGAGTATAAAATGGCATTGAATAAATGATATATCATATCAGAACCAGGCACAGGGAATTAGGCACAATGTTAGTACCACAGAACATAAAAGTGAAGAATTGAACCTTCTTGGGTTGAAATAGAAATTAAGGAATATACCTTACTAGTTGCAATCACAGTCATTGAAGACCATTCGTTCTCCAGATTTGAATTCTGCTTGAGTCGATCAAATGGGCTTGCTTTATTATCTTATTTGCTTTGATTGGGCGTAGTATGGCACGATTGGCATAAATCACAAATAAGCAACCGGAGATGCAGGAGAAAATTAAGAAAAAAAAAAAAGAGACAAGACACAGGGGGGAGAGCCGGGGGGGAAATAATAAATAAAAATATATCTCCCGTGCCATCTCCCCCTAAAAAACCAAGAAAATTAAAATTTTATTAGGGTTTTTGACCTGCCATGCAAGCGCACCTGTCAGGGCAAAGGTCGGATAACACAAAACAATCACTCAGTTTCTTTTCCCTCACAATTTGTTCACCTTTCCTATCTTCTCAGCACACAATTTTTCCTCACCCTCGATTCTTTCAACTCATAACAATAACTCATCAGTCTACAATCCGGAGATCCATAAATCTGGACAATGACTAGCTCATCAATCTACAATAAGGAGATCGATAAAATAGAACAGAAGCTAAATCAACAAATAAATCAAACGCTAACAAAAAATACAGCAAACTCTTTTGTAGCTTGTTCTTGCCCCGAAAATACTAGAGCATTCACCGCCACAATCTTCGTTCAGATACAACGCATCAAACAGATTGCTGCAGGCAACAGTGTATAAAATTCGATCAATAAATCAGTCCTTTAATTTCTGAATCTTGAAACCGATCTGCACGATGTTTCCAGATCTAAAAACCCCGGAGGAACCAGAACAAAGCCAACAAAGATAACGATTCAATGTTAATACCTCGACAGAGATCCAAAGATTCATTTCAGAGTTCGATAGAATGATAAATTAGCCTTTTCAGTGAGGAAACAACTCGAACTTAGCTAAATCAGGAAAAGCAACCTTCAAAAGAAAGATCAAAATTCTAGCTTAGTTAATCTATCAACCGAACAATCGAGCCAGCAATTCTTATGGAAAATCAATCGACTTACCTCAGTTGATCTCTGAGAAGAATTCGATTCATATAATCGTCAGAAAGATGGCAAAATGACAAGGAAAAAGGACGAAAAGAAATCACGGATTTGATCCAAAGAGGGAAAGCCGTGACAATAGACGAAGTTCCTCAACGGCTTGAAGATTTGGAAGGAACTGCAATTAGCGACACCGGGAGAAGCGGATCTGGTGAATGTGGCGCCACAAGTGTTATAAATAGAGGTGCGAGACATTTTTGGAACCGAATTAGGCTTTATCCAACGGCTTCGATTGTTTTGTGATTGATGAGATCAACGGTTGGATTTGTGCGATACTTTTTCCCGGGGTCTGAGGAGTAGTGCAAGATACCAACGGCTCTGGATAGCGGAGAAGGTTCTGGAGGCAAGGCCTCGATGGGGACTTTTCACTGCCACGTGCCTTTGGTCAACGTTATTATCATGTTGGGCTAATGGGCCAAAATGAGGCCCAGAAAGTAAAGAGACCTGGATTGATAGAAAACATTGGGCCTGCAAGGGATGAAGCCGAGTAATGGGTTTGGGTTGCTCCTATTTGATTGGACTAAAGTCTATTAAGATAACACATAAATGTCATAGGCAGCCTAATCATTATAAATTCATTACCGAAACTATCTAACCAATAATTATATATCACGAATTTTACATTAATTTTTACAAATAAGTGTTTTATTTTATTTAATAAATATATTTTTTATTAAAAAATATAAATTCATAACAAATGATATCAAAACTTTCATAAGAAATACTACAATTGAGATAGATCCAAAACAAAATGAAATCAAAATAGACTTGAAAAAGTTATTCCATGAAAAATACTAAGATTAAAATAAACCTAAATCAAAATAAATCCGAAGCAAAGTGAGTAACCCAATGAGAGATACTATAATTGAGATAGATCCAAACTAAAGTAAATTTCTCTCTTCTAACCAATGCAGCAAAGATGTCATTAATTCCACGTACATAAAAAATAAGATAAAATTTAAATTTATAAATAAAAATTTTCTTTCACCTAACAAGTTTGTTTTTTAAATTAAAAATATAAATTAGTAATCAAAAGATTAATTTTGGACTACCCGCAATTTAAACGAGATAATTATTTTCCGTTTTTTCTAAAAGTATTAGAAACAATTAAGTGCAAAGGTTGAGTGATAGAAATTCCACAATTTAAACCTAGGTACCGTCGAATTGAATTGATTGGTACACTCCCTGATCCAGTAAGGAATTCTCCTAAAATTCCATATGAAGCTATTTCTTTCTGAAGGTAGACAAGAAAAAAACATAGAATACCCTTCGGCTGTCCTAAATGTCTTTACTAAAATCAAATGGGTGGCACATACTTGTCCAGTAGTCAGCAGTAGTTAGCTCAAGAAAAAGACCTAAAAATAGAAAAATAAGGTACTTCCACGACACATCATAAATTTAATGTGTTTGTTTAGAAACCCCAATCACATATGCATTTGTTTTTTTGCAGCCTTGGAACGACCTTTGTTTAACTAAAATGGAGTTTTAGTCTTGCAAAATTGCAATCCCCCCGTTTTGTTTCATCACTAAGATTGATTACTCGACACCTCTTCCCCACCCAATTCTTGCTTCTTTGGTTAATGGTGGGGTCAGTTTAAAACTCCCAAAAGACGGCTTCCCCACTAATTCTCACTTCTCAGATCCCTCTTTCAAAAGCCTGCCATTCCTATCTAGCCTTAATTTTGTTCTCTTATTTGCAACTAGAAAATACCAATCAAATGGACTCCTTCACAACTTTGTAATTTTGGAGTTCAAGGAAACCACGAAGATAGGGAAAGAATGGAAAGATGGGGACGTAGCTTTTCCTTTTAGGATTCTAAGTTACTCCACCTGATCAGTGTCTGAAAGCTGGGATATGTTCCAATAATTGACATGTGCCAATGGGCAATGCCGCCTATAGACCATCAGTTTGAATCGTCATGAACACATAGATGAAAGGAAAATGCCAAGGTTTTTCAGGTGGCTAAAGGGAATCAAGAGGGAGTGAGAGAAAATAAAAAGGAAAGATGCTGGTAAAGGAGGCTTGGGATGGAAGCCCTTAGAATGAAACTTCTGCCATTGCTTGGATTTGAATCAAAGTCAGGATACTCGTGATGTTACAGAGACCCTCTAGAGAGAGAAAGAAAGCTAACGTTCACGTCAACCAATCTAAGATAAATTTTCAAACTCCATTTTATTGCTACGAGACTAGACTTCCCAACTTACCCAACTCTGAAAGAACCCTCCCAACTAGAAAAAGAAACAAAAACATTCATGTTCCCACCTCTTATCTGTGAAAAAGTAACGGACAAAACACAATGTAAAGATATTCTATCTTTATTCTGGCTCAAAGAGAGTTGAAGATAACCTTGTTCGAATTGAGAGTGTAACATGGCCAAGAGATCAGATTTTGCACAGAAGCTGTTAGATGACCTCCGGTTGCGGAAGGAGCGGATGGCTGCATCTCAGAACTCAAAGGGTACAAATCCAATGGTTGCAGGTGAGCATTTCCTGAACTCTCTGCAATAAACACGCAATGTGGAGCATGCATCAAAGAATTCCAATGTCCTCCATCTTTATTAGTTAAAACTCTGTCATAAACCATTTTTGTGGATCATGTTTCTTATTCAATGACTTCGAGACATTAGAAAAGCAGGAAGCATCACTTATGCACATTGCGAAGCTAACTAATGCTAATGAACTCACACAAATCATGCACATGATTTCAACTGTTGAAGTGTATCATTCTAGCACCAATGACTAGTCTTTCTTTTCTTTCCTTCTGGAGGTACTCTTTCCCCTGCTTTTATCTAAGAAGAAGTTAAAGAGCAAAGAAATTAAGTTTGAAAGCAATTAGTAATTCAATTCAATTACCTAACAAAACCAGCCACGTGATTAAGCAATAATTCTTCTCTCTTGTAGACGTTGATAGATGAAGCTAAGAGAGTGTAAAATCTGTTGAACTTTTCTTTTAAGGGCAATCTGGATTTGTCTGGTATAGGTTCTACGGCATAGCTTCTCCACTCTGCTACCCTCTTTCAGACTAATCATCTCCAGCTATTTTTTGGAAACATTGCACGTAAAAGTAAAACTTAAAAGATGAGAGAACTGTTTACTTCATATAAGAACAGAATGGAAAGAATTTCGAGATGACTTTATGTTTAATTGAATTAAACGGTTGGGGTAAGACATAGACAGGTGACATCTGAAGGCAAAACACAGATTTTCTTTTAAATATGGTTACTCCAGGAGAACTTTCATCAGTTTGGTGATGTTTAAGTAATTAAACCTGTATAAGGCTAGACTCTTGACAACAGAGCTTTGGCTAGCTAGCAAAGTCCCCATCAACAAGCAACTCAAATGCATAATATTCTCTGTTCCTTTTATTGCATATTTTGGCAGATGCATATGCTTACTCCAGGAGAACCTATAAATCATCCAGGGAACCAAAACCACTCAAAACTGTAAGTTTCCAAAGCTCCAGTAGAAGTAATCAGTTCATACAACAGATTAATTAGATATCATGATTTCATCTAGCTAAAATGTTTGGTTTCCTGCAGACTGGTTTTAGAGCTGGAAGTGCACAAAACAGGTCTAGTGGGGCCAGTAAATTGGTAACCACTGGGCAGGTATCAAATCAGATTGTTCCTTTTGGGAGTGGCCAGAAGTCCGAACAAATAGGAGGTCTCTCAATGGCCCTTGCTTTTGCACTTGAAAATGGAGGAAAGCTAAGGAGAACAGATTTTTCAGGCAATAACTCAGTGTTCAGTTTTCTGCACAACATTGGTAGGAGACAGACGGATTATGGGAAGATGGAAAGAAGAAACAGTGTAGTAAGTAGGCATCAACCTTCAAGTAGCCAACTCCCTACTCTCTCTCATCTCCATATCGAAGAAATATCAAGGGGTGCGCAAAAGTTAAATCAGATCCTCCAAGCGTGCTCTAATGGCCTCAATTTTGACAGATATTCAATAGAAATTGGGCGGGAACTATTGAAAGGAGCAATGGATTTGGAGGAGTCTCTAAGGATGCTTGTAAACATGCAGGAAGCTTCAGAGTACTTAACAACGCCACAGAGAAAAAGTCGGATAACATTGCTAGAGGAGGAGGAGGAGGAGGAGGATGAGAACACTGTCAGAATAGCTGACCAGAAGCAATTGGATAGGCCAAGGTTTTCTTTTGACAGACCATCAAGAAACTATAATGACATTCAAGAAGTTGCAAGAACTGATCTCAAGCTGAGGCTGGCAGCTCTTACCTATTCTCCAGAGGTTACTAATTCCAAGCATGAGAAGAAGGTTCTAGCTGTCTCAAATTCACGTTCTAACAAGCTATCAGTTAGCTATGGTCCAGACATTAAAAATCTCACTGCATTCTCAGAACAAAATCACTCAAGTTCATTGCCATCCAAACAAGAAAAGTCGAGAATTCCAAATGTAATTGCGAAACTGATGGGGCTTGATGAACTGCCAGGAAATGTAGATTCAAAGGTTACGTCGCAGAAGGAGTCTGGAAAGCAAAAGGTAGAAGGGATGATCACAAAGAAACCTGCACTGGAAACTACCAAAAAGGCTGAACAAAGGACAAACAATACTGCAAACCCGGTTCTCCCATCAGTGAAACAGAAGGCAATACTAGCCAGCAAGATTCCATTGATTCAGGATACAGTTACATCACCAGCAGGAAAAACTTTGACAACTAGAAATGGTGGCACAAGGGTTGCTGTCCATGACAAACTACCACCTCGAAAGGACTTGGAAGACATGAAATCAGTGACAAGCTCAAGAAAGGCCAACATCAAGATAGAAAAACAACAAAGTGATCATGCCCAATTGAACTATAACTCTGGAAGTAGAAAAGAGAATCAAGAAAAGGACAGAAAACAGGATAATATAAAGCACAGGGAACAGAGGGGTGCTGAGCGAAGTGAATCCAAAGAACCAGTTTTCAAGGATGAGATGCAGCAGATGATACCATATATGCATAAAAGATCAGAATCTGCACTTACAATGAAAGAAAAAACAGAGTTCAGTGAAAGCATGCATCATATGGAAAACAGATATTCTAACAAGCTTCTCCTAGGCAATCAACAAAAGCTGCAACATAATCACGCATTTCAACACGTACACATGCTCCAAAAATCTGAGCTTCAAGAGAAAAAGCGTCAAACAGAAGAGAAGGAACAACATAGTACTAAACAGAAACTGCAGGGGAAGAAACAAAAGGGAAATGAACCAGTATCTGGTAATTTCTCCAAACCGATGTCTGGTGCAACCAATTTGCAAAACAAGCAGCCACAAATGAGCCATGCAGCAACTACTAGGAAAGGCTCCACTGAACATATTGATGCAACACAATTCAATGGATTCCCAGATGGTAGGCACCAAGAAAATCCTGCCAGAGATAGAAGTTCAATAAACTTAAACTTCAAAATTAAAGATTCAATAAACAGAAAATCCAGTCAGCATTACTCTGGAGGAGATATAGAATCTGAAACAGCAAAAGCTCGCATCCTGTTTGCTGTGGATGAGAAACCAGCTCAAGTTCAAACGACAATGAAGGCAAAGAGAGCAAAAGGGCACAAACTTGAGGTTCCTCGGAAGATCAATGAAGTAATGACCAAAAAAGGTGGAAGTGTTACTAACTTGCCGAGGATGCTGAAGCATCAGAGTTCCATTTTGCAAGAGGGGAAACAGACAAGGCAGGAGAAACTTGCTATCTCAAGAGAAGCAGATCAAATGAAAGCCAGCAGGTTCGAAGAAGTGGAAGCACAGATCACTAGATCCAAAAAGTCAGTAGCAAGCCTACAACCATCAAGTGTGGCACAAGAGCTACAGAAAGCAGCTCAGCAAAATTCAGTTTTGTGCAGTCCTGTTGAAGATGATAGCCAAAGCCTAAATGAATCACAAGCTTTAGCTGCAAAAGATAGGGTAAGATCACAATCACTACAATTATTAAGCAATTATTTCTGACAAATGAAGCCACTTTCATTCTGTTTGGAGCCCATTTAACTCTTTTGATCTTATGCAGTGTCAAAATACAGTGCCAATGGCTACAAATGAACACCAAGATCAAGAACCTGATCTTGGTAGAGCCAAAGAACACACAGTTAAGAACAGTGCAACTGATCCACTACGTCGTAAGTACAATTTTGCATTTTCAAAAACTTTTCTCACTTTTTCCCATTACAACTCATGAAATGCTTTTTCTTTTAACAAAAGGTTCTATAAAGATGAGCTTACACCAACTTCTACAAATTTTAAATAGGTGTTTATGCACACACAACAACACAAGCACATATAAAAAAAATGCATAAGATGTCCACCTCTACTATATGGAGACTGAACCATAAAAAGTTGACTGCATGTGTATTATACCGCCCTCATAAGGAAACCTTAATTTGCTTCTGATCTTTTCTAACAATTAAGGCCATAGGAATAGCAGCAATCCGATTTTTTCCTTTTATGTTTTTAGTAGACTTGGTGATTTGGGAAGGGGAAGAATGAAGAAACTTATCTTCTAAAGTTCATTGTTTTTTAGGAACTCAAGAAGAAAGCACAGAAATCTCTTACACCCCACAATCACAAACGCAAAGAACTTATACATCAGAGATGCCAGAGCCACTGACAGAGAGTGAAAATCACCTGAAGCAGATACTTATGAAAAGTCAATTATTCATGAACACAGCAGAGGCACTTTTCAAACTCAACATTCCCATCAGCATTCTTCATGCAAACGGCCTCGACTATCACGATCAAGAGAGCAAGCTCGTTTTAGACTGCGGCTACGAAGTAATGAAGAGGAAAGGCAGAAGGCAGGAACTAAGCGTTCATCCATTCCTGAAGGTATCCATCACTTCAAACAAAGCAAAATCCTTGGATGAATTGGTCAAGCAAATGTGTAAAGACTTTGATAAGTTGAAGTTATATGGAAGGGATGGGAGAGAAGATTCTCCCTTCGAAGACTACCTACCGAAGATGCTTGAGGCCGATGTCTACAACAAGGAACCAGATGTGAATTGTATGTGGGATCTGGGTTGGAACTGCGTGATGTTTGCATTCCTTGAGAAAGATGATGTTATTAGGGATGTGGAGAAGTATGTGCTTAATGGACTCCTAGATGAGATTACCAGAGATCTTTTCAAAGGCATAAGTGCTTCAGTTAAGTAATGAAAAACCCAAAAAAAAAAAAAACTATTAAACTATTTAAGCAGAGTTGGTCCTATGTTGCTGTTTGTATCAGTGAGCAAACTTTCCCATAGCCCTTTTTCCCCCTGTAACTACCCAAAACTGTGATTCTTATTTGGATTTCTTCCAATTTTTCAAATGTTTGCATATAATGAATGATCAATTCAGCTCTCAATCTCTCACTCTCTTGAAATTGTAGTTTTATCATAAAAAGAGAACATATAAAGAGCAAAATCAAAGGCAAAAGGTGTATGAATGAAAAAAGTTAACGCTTACCTGATCTTGATCTAGTGCTTTCAAGGAAGAAACGCAAGATCAAATCCGACATCTGCTCCAAAACTTCAAAAATTTTAACGTAAATTTCGAAGAATCAGCTGAGCACCGAAGTCCCGCATCAATGAAAGTTTCGACTCGGAATCGCGGGAAGCCGAGAACTGATTAATGCTTCGGTTGTTTGCTGAAAGACTATCAACAGGTAGGGACGAAAATGAAAAAAAAAAAAAAACAAAAAACGATACCAATTAATTGTAGTTCCAATTTTGGAACCAAAACACTCGGGGAAAAAGGAGGTAAATTCAAATTTTTTCTTTTTTTTTTATTTTAATTTTTTTGTATTCTCAGCGCGGCAAAAACAGGATTGTTATACTTTCGCTCGAGGCCCGGCCTCAAGGCTGAATAAAACCCGATCTACATGGTTGTAAATTGGGCCTCTAATTTCAACCGTAATAAAAAACCCAATATGAAAATTTTCTTTTTAATATGTTTAAAGAATAAAAAAACATAATTAATCAAAAATTTTTAAATAAAATTTTTTATTACATTTTAATCAACTCTTTATATTTTTATTTTGAATTAAATTTTTTTATAATTAATAATTAATTAATTATTATTAATCAAAATATCACTTATTTTTTATACCATATAATGTTAATGTGACATACAGACTATTATGATGGTATAACATGTTGAAATAATCATATAAAATGTTTACTTTTTATGTTAATGTTACATCAGTATTATGTGAGTATAAAAATGATAAATAAAATTTTAATTAATAATAATTAATTAATTATTAATTATAAAACTTTATTTCATTCATAAGTACAAACGAACTTAATATAATACAATAAAAAATAAAAAAGTAATTTTTTAAAATAATTTAAAAAAATTTCCAACATTATAAATTATAAAAATTGTTCTAAGAATCCCACTTATATACTTTCAATAATTTTTCTTAAATAGAATATTTTTATATTCAAATTTATTAAGGAATATGGTCACAAATTAGACTACTATTCAACAATCCATTAGTAGTCACCATCACCAACGCTTTAAATTTAAATATCTCAATTGTTGGAGAAAGAAAGACATTGACATTGACAAGAAAGAAGCTTTGCTGAACAATATAGAGTTTGACCCAAAGGTGTGCTTTTTTAAAGGCAAAAAAAATAAAAAATAAAGGGGTGTATGATGACAATGGGATTTAGACCTCCACAAGGTATTTTATGTGGTAGAGAACATCAAATCAACAATGGCACATGATAGAATGGTCTAATAATTGCATAGGTAAATCTCGAAGATTATTAAGATCGAATCAATACGAATAAATAAACTCTTAACATATATTTTAATAATAATTTCTTAACTTCAATAAAAATATTAAAAATTAAAAAATTTTCATTTACAATAAAAGCAATACTCGTCATATGATCAATTACATTATTTATTTCACAATAAATATACAATGTGTTCACCTCCTAGTGTTAGTGAAGTAAATCCTTAACGACTTGGATTAAATATAATTTTGCACACGGATGGGTTGGAAATGAAGTAACAGCCCATATCTCGTCTTATTATCAACTTGGAGCATAATTTTCCTAAATCCTAAATCCCAAGCAAGCTCAAGGCCATGATAAACTCCTCAAAACTTAACTTGATGGGTTGAGCTTTTGCCTGGTTTCATCGTATAACCATCTTATCAATTCCCTTTGGCATCTTAGATAACCTCCCAACGGATGTTGTTTCAAAAGATTTATGAAATGCGCCATTAAAATTAATTACAACCTATCCAACTGGTGACGGTTTCCAATCAACAAGAATTATATTCTTTTTTTGTATTCAGCTTACTAATGGAATCTGGTATAGAAAAAGCAATATTGATCAATAGCATCATATTCCAAACTTTAACCCTCAATCTAACATCACTTTGCCTTCAAATGTGAACAAGTTACATAGCCATACTCCAATATTTTTTGAATGGTAAAATTGCATGGATTATGATCTCCTGCATTTATCATTATGTCAAATATATATATAAAAAAAATCAAATATATGCATAGTTATAATTCCGGAAACAAGTGTTGCAGTTGAAAAGATCGGCATATGGGATTTGGTGGATTAATATGTCGTGCCTTAAAAAAAAAAACTCTTTAATAGGTATACATATTTTATTATTAGGAAGACTAATACCTGCTCAAATAATTTGGTGGATTGGGAGGGGCAAGTAGAAAACTTAATTTTGAAGGTTTAAAAAGCTTATACTTTTTCTATTAGTTATATTCAAAGATTGCTTGTGCACCAATTATTCCACCTTCTTAAAGTTGGTTCACCTTTGTGCTTTGTCCTCCATGGACTATCAATATTCTACGATATTTATATGACAAGCTCTTCTTTTCCAGTGTGCGCTTTGATTGAATATGCTTTGCTTTATCAGGTATGTTCAAAGCTCCTTTGTTATATTTTTGTGTGTGTGGGAAATGTCTTCTACCTAGAAATGGGATTGTTGTTTCTTAACGGAGAAGGAAAAAACTATGCAGTCTCCCTCAAAGACAAGGCTGTGTTTCCGAGGCTTAAAACATGGCTGAAAGGCTCAAAACTTAACACCATATCACCTCAAATTTTGGATAATGATAGACACTTTTTGCCTTCTGAATGTTCGGAGGTCGGTAAAAGAACATAATTGGCTTTAAAGAATCCAATCTGAGCTGGAATTAGCCTTTTAGGTCTACCTTAAAGACTGTTGGATTAGCTACGGGCTGTGTCGGCTACATATCGTGACTCCGGCTTGGACCAGTCCAGGACCAGGTATCGTGACCGAGTTCGGACAAATTTTAGTACAATAAGAATCCAAAATGGGGCATAACGGTCAGAACGGAGGGCATTTGTGTCAAAATAACTCAACGTTAAAGTTGTCTGGAACAAAGCAACTTTCGGTTCATTTCGTAACGACACGAATCGTTTGCATGTAGAAAATTACACGTGGCCCCTTTAAACACGTGAAACTAAGTTCCACAGAAAGATTTCTTTTACGGTTCTACCCTTCGTCCCTTTCCTTGGTTTTGTTTATTTATTCACTCCAATACTTCAAAGGCCATCAGCTTTGTAACGTGCAAAACAGATACCATCTCTCTGCTGTTATGGCCGTGCTTCGTTGTACTTTAACATTGCTTCTTCTGACTCTGGTACTGGGAGTGAACAAAGCAAGTAAGCTTCTGAATTCCTTTCTTCCTCAGTTTAATCTAAGCTTCTGGGTTTGTCCGGTTTTGCAGAATCTTCTTTTCCCTTTTATTATTCTTCTATATTTGGAAGATAATCTTGTCGTTTTTGCTTAAAGATGTAGTACTTTTGGTTTTCTCTTGTTAATGCAGAAGCCGAGTTTTCACTAAGTTTCTTTCTCTCTGGCTCTCTCTGTTTTGTTATAGCACCTTTCTTTGAACACCAGACATGGAAAAGTTAGACTATTTCTTTGTCTGTTTCGCTCCTCAACCAGAGACCTGAATTGAACTTTTACGTACGTTTTCTTTTATGTGTAGGTGATTTTTGATAATCTTAAGATTAAATGAGTTATATTTCATAGTTGAGGTATTCAGTTTCTCTCTTGCATATTGGAGAAAATACTCAAAATAGTGACACTAGTTCATTTTACACGTAACGGTCTCCAATCTCTAAGAAATTTGTATTCCTGAAGAAAAAAAGAGGGAAAAAAATAATCCATGTTTGGCTATTGAGAAAATCGAGGGAGAACAGAGAAGTCTAATTTACGTCTGTCTTTGCAGAATCCCAATCATTTATTGGAGTAAATTATGGACAAGTGGCCGACAACCTACCGTCACCGGCAGCCACTGCAAAGCTTCTCCAGTCCACCTCAATCCAAAAGCTCCGGCTATACGGGTCTGACCCAGCAATCATCAAGGCGTTAGCCAACACCGGAATTGGCATCGTCATCGGCACCGCAAACGGCGACATCCCTGCCTTAGCCTCAGACCCAAATTTTGCCAAAAACTGGGTGAACACCAACGTAGTCGCATATTACCCATCCAGCAAAATCATACTTATAAACGTTGGCAACGAGGTTATTATGTCTGGAGATAATAATTTGATATCTCAGTTGTTGCCGGCCATGCAAAATGTTAAGAATGCCCTCGATGCGGCGTCGTTAGGTGATAAAGTCAAGGTCTCAACGGTGCATTCAATGGCTTTGTTGAAACAGTCTGAGCCGCCATCATCTGGGTGCTTCGACCCGAGTTTCGGAGACGTGTTGAAGGGACTCTTGGCGTTTAACAATGCTACCGGTTCGCCTTTTGAGATTAATCCGTACCCTTATTTCGCGTACCGCAGCGATCCAAGGCCTGAAACGTTGGCGTTCTGCTTGTTTCAACCGAATTCCGGGCGTGTCGATGCCAACACGAAAATCAAGTACATGAACATGTTCGATGCTCAGGTTGAGTTACATGTTACATGAACTTGCTATGACAACTTCTATATCTCCCAGTTGAAAACATTGTTTTGTTTAATTCAATGAGTTGGCTACTTTGACAGGTGGATGCTGTTCGTTCTGCATTGAACGCCATGGGGTTTAAGAATGTTGAGATTGTGGTGGCTGAGACAGGGTGGCCTTACAAAGGGGACAGCGAAGAAGTAGGACCAAGCATTGAGAACGCGAAGGCTTACAATGGAAACTTGATTGCACACCTTCGATCAATGGTGGGAACTCCATTGATGCCAGGGAAATCGGTTGACACATATCTCTTTGCTCTGTACGATGAGGACTTGAAACCTGGACCAACTTCAGAGAGATCCTTCGGGATTTTCAAGTCTGATCTTACCATGACTTATGACATTGGCCTCTCCCAAAGTAGCCAGGTGAGAAAAATGCAACTAATCATTAGTCAACAACTATCATCTTCTTACTGTTTAGAACTGGCATTGAATCTTGTTAAACTTTTCTTTAAGACTCCGGTGGAGACTCCGGCAATGCCAAAGGCACCTGTGACACCGTCGTCACAGCCAAAGAAAGCAGCTTGGTGTGTGCCAAAAGCTGGTGTTTCGGATGCCGAATTGCAGGCAAGTTTGGATTACGCTTGTGGACATGGAATAGATTGTAGTCCGATTCAACCAGGAGGGGCTTGTTTTGAACCAAATACAATCGCATCACATGCTGCATATGCCATGAATCTCTTTTATCAAACTGCTGGTCGGAATCCATGGAATTGTGATTTCTCACAAACAGCCATGCTTTCTTCCAACAACCCAAGTAAGTTCAAGTTTCTTAAATCAGTAGAACCTTGCTTTACGGTACAAATCATTCGTCTTATTTTATTAATTTGTCTAATCCTTTTGCTTTTACACTTTACAGGCTATAATGGTTGCACTTACCCAGGTGTGAGTACCTGAAAAAAAAAGGAATAATCGGACAGATAAATAAAGGCAATTGGGCAACTTTTGCTGTTCTTTATTCTCAGTTAGTGGGCAAGGGCATCATCGTCTTTCACGAGTAGTGGGTGGGGATTGGCAGCACAGCATGCGCAAATATATATGCACAAGTTCTTCTATTTTGCTCCTTTTCTTATGTAAGGGCAGAATTATGCTTGTTTGCCTATTTATTTGGAAATCTAGGAGGCTATGTCTCGATGTATATGTGTATTTAGAGACTCTTGAAGATTTGCTGTAAAACATGTACTTACGAGTTTAGTGCAGAAGGGAATATAATTGGAGGTGTGCGTCCTTTATTCTCAATATCATATTCATGGATAGGAGTGGTTAAAGTCACGTGGCAGGCCTTTAACTGAACAAAATTGTTCCTTCAGCTTGAACGACGTCGTTCAATAAAATAAAACATTGCAACGACAGAGCAAGCTGAGTCAAACCTGCGAGTTCGGTTCCATTATTTTCAGTTAATACATTTCCTAGTAATCCTAACAAACTTGATCCCATGGTTCGTTATACTCGCTAGAGGGAAGAGAGAGAGAAACAGAGACGGAGACGGAGACGGAGACAGAGACAGAGAAGAAGATAGAGATACACTAGGAAGAGAAGGGCCCGAAAAGGAAGAGAATGGGAACGAGAGAGAGGGAGAGAGATCGAGAGTTGCTGATCCCTGTAGCAACAATCTCTGAAAATGGAGGCTCCAAATCCTCCGTCCCTATTATTTCTCCTACCGTCACCTCCTCCCATGGCCGCGAGGTGCCTAATATCTTTTCCTTCTTCATTCTTTTCCTTCCACGTTCCTGCGTTTTCTTAATCTGGAGATTGGTCAAAAACACATGCATGCATTGTCAAAACCATGCAACGATGCAAAGATGATGAGTTGTCATACATTTGTTTAGTTCCATTAATTAGATCCACTTATAGAAAACCTAGTAGACGAAAAAGGGTAAACATAAACCAAAAGGATATATAGGCAACATAGTCCTCTTGTCATCATTGATGGTTATGAATAATATCAGACAGAAAACTGTTATAGCTTCTTGTTTGTGACTAGTGTTTTCTTTTGAATTCTGGCATAGGCTTTTTTAAAAGTAATCCGCAGCTGGGCGTCGAAAAAGTTTATGACAGGATGGTAAGTCCTTTCTATCTTGAACGATGATGCATTGCTACTTATTTGGTGTGTCTTCATGGGCATTTTAAACTTTTTCTTGTTACTTTTTTAGTGCATTTTGTTCATATTTATGATTTCAGTACCCTGAAAAGGATATATACATAAGTGATTGAGATTTTTCGAAAATGTGGTATTATTTGCAGTGTCATACTTCTTCCACTGGCCATTACATTCTATGTTACTTGGGGTTTCATTCATTTCGTTGATGGTTTCTTCTCCCCTGTCTATGATCATCTAGGCATCAATATTTTTGGTAAGCAGAATATTACCTGCCTTTTCTTGGATCCTCTTTTAGCTTTTATTAATTTGTTGGGTTGAGTTCTTCAGATTAGAAAGCCCTGTTATATATAGCCCTTATGAAACTGGGTGCCATTTCTTTATCTGAACACACGTACGAATGCATGGCTATACTTTTAACTAATCAAACCTTGTCAGCTTTTACTAGTGGCCATGTTGTTTTTGTTTTTGCTGCTGAAATGATTTGGCCAACGTGCAGGTCTAGGATTTGCTACCTCCATCACTTTTATCTTTTTAGTAGGCGTTTTCATGTCATCATGGTGGGGGGCTTCAGTCCTTACTCTTGGTGAATGGTTCATCAAGAAGATGCCGCTTGTGAGTTATATTTATGCTGCCTCAAAGCAAATAAGTACTGCAATATCACCAGGTAAGTCTTTTCTAGATATCTAGCTAGTAGCTACAGCTTCCAGGTTTGTTACCTCAAAGCCACATTAAACCACTTTTGCAGATCAGAATTCTAATGCTTTCAAAGAAGTAGCGATCATAAGGCACCCACGTATCGGGCAGTTTATGTTTGGATTTATTACTTCCACAGTTGTTCTTCAGAAGGGTATAGGCGAAGAAGAACTCTGTTGTGTTTACGTGCCCACAAATCATCTCTATCTGGGTGATATATTTCTCATTAGTTCAAGGGACATTTTGAGGCCTAATTTATCAGTTCGCGAAGGAATTGGTATGAAACTCAAACTCAAAATTAAGACTGAAACATCCTCTATAATTTATATATTTGTGGTGATTTAAATTTGTGTTCCTCTCTTTTGGTGCAGAAATTGTGATCTCTGGGGGTATGTCTGTGCCTAAAATATTGACCACAGTGGATGCACCAGGCATTCCTGCAGCAAGAGTTGTCAATTTTGAAGCAGCAGTATGAAAATGGATTAACAATAATTAGAGTTCATTTCTGTTTCCTATCATATATATATGTTGGGCCAAGCATATGCTCAATCATTCAAGAAATCAATCTTTTTGAGAATGAATGAAGGGAACAGTTTTGGTCTTTGGCAGGCATTGGACTCAGCAGAGACTACATAGTTCCACCACTCTTGATATTAACATGAAGAAAAGATATCCCATCACTTAGAAATATATATACACAGGTGCAATGGATGGTAGTTCACAGTTTTTTGTTCATATTAGAGCTTCTTTCCTTCCTCTGTAGTAGTAAAGATGATTTTTTTTTTCTTTTTGCCTTAAAAGGATAACAATATTGTATGTAATAATAAATAAATTGTAGAAAGAAAGTCTTCATTAGTAGGAATTCAAAACCCTCACTGAGGGCATATCAATTCAAGAAACAGGCTACATCTCGGAGAAGAAAAGAGTCCATACTCTGGGGATTAAGATTGAATCAGTACATTTTACTGATTGTATGGGACTTGCTTATTGTAATTCTTGAAAGGAATGGTCATTTAATCCCAATTATCAGTGTTGGTTTGAGACAGAAAGAGATGGATGCAGTCATGCAGAGATGCTTTCCAGGTCTCGAGAGGCATCTTGATGAGGATTATTATTGTTTTCTATGCCTAATTGAGGACACAATGAGCTTAACTACAAGAACGGAAATTAGAATTTGATAGCAGAAGTTTAACCGTTCATAGAAAGAAAGGTCTAAGTTCTTGCCAGGTTGGCATCTGGTCACCTTAAAATCAAGCATCCCATAACAGTATGATTTCATCAGTAAGACACGAAATTTATGATCTTAAAGACTGACATTTTAGAAAGTGTTCAGTCGTGGAACACATGAATCAGCTATGGAAACTTGCTAGTACATATGCACTAGAGCTGGAATGTCTAACTATAAACAATGTTAACCATGCTTTAGTGGTGGAGAACAATCAGGCATCCAGTGTAGCCGTAGCGTACCCAGAAGTTGCCTGTTTTTCCAGGTCAGATACCTATCTTGAGGCCGAAGGCATTCTACCTCCGTTGTCGTCCAGTGGCTAGGAGGTCCGGTTTTTACGAAAGAGACCCGGATTCGATCCCTGGCAATGGAATTTCTTGTGGTGCTCAGGTTTTTTTTCCTCATGTTTCAGTTTCGAATTCATCAAGAATGGAACTGCTACCTTTGTTTGGAAAATGTAAGAAGCCAAGAGTTAAGATTACAATTTCTGCTTATTTGCTAGTTGCTTTTGAAAACATATTTGTAGCACCTGCTTGTCTTCATCCTTGAGACGGTACCACCGAAACTTCTCTCTAATTCAGGTTGAAATTTCGTCATCCAAATCCAAGCAATCCTGCCAAAACAATCAAGTTTCAATGCTGACGACGTAACAGACAAATTCCGTTGTCGTCCAGTGGCTAGGATGTCTGGCTTTCACCCAGGAGACCCGGGTTCGATCCCCGGCAACGGAACCATCCTTATGCCCTCTTTAACACTTCTTTATTTTCACTTGGCCTTGGCGAATGACGATCAGTCCAATATCAGACGCCGTCCTTTACGTAGTACCAACACTTGGTAAGTTAGCCCGCTGCTTTCCTGGGGCCCAATTGGAAATCGCAGCCCACGGAATTCAACACTCAAAAGTCACAATCAAACAACAGGTTCCAAAGCCGTTAAACCGGACCCAAGTTCAGTGACCAGAATTCCTGACCTGTATCAATTTGGGGAGATGCCCTTTCGGCCCTCGTATCTCTACCACGTAGCCTTTAACCTTTTCTAGTCACGTGATTCTCTAAACCTCGCCAAAGCTTTGCCAGCTTCAACCTTTTCTGCCTCCATTAGTTCTCTATCCCCTTTCCTTTCATCATCTTCTGAGTTTCCTTCTTTGCTCCGGTATCTTCTCTTGTGTTCTTTCTCATTTCTTTTTAGTCGGAAATCTCAAGCTAATAGTATTATCTGTTGCAGAGATTGTTTTTGTTCCATTTCTAATACAAGCTGAGATGGCTTCAACCACTCTAATCTGCGACACCGAGCCATGGAAGGACTTGAAGGTAACTTTCCGGTCACTTTCTAGCCAAGATTATCGCTGAATATCAAGAAATCTATGTATTTATCACGAAACTCATTTGGGATTTTACAGGCTCATGTCGAGGATTTGAAGAACACTCATCTTCGTGATTTGATGAACGACAAAGAGCGATGCCAGTCGATGATGGTGTAAGATCCTACGTTGAACTCTCATCGTTTTTCTGATTCAATATCTACACTAAGCACTGAGTAAAACAATTATTAATTATTAAATATTCGATTATATATATGAGTAAATATATTTTTCTTACAGTGAGTTCGATGGAATGCTTTTGGACTACTCAAGGCAACGCGCCACTCTTGAGACCATGGATAAGCTCTATAAATTAGCAGAGGTGAATTTGGATTAATTCTGGCTTTCGAAATAGTAGTTTTCGATTTTATTTAAATCTTTTTACAGTTTCAGGCAGCATCTCTCAAACAACAAATCAACCGAATGTACAGCGGTGAGCATGTAAGTCCTAACTTTCTCTTCACGTCATTCACTTTTAAAGAAAGGAGTAATTTGGTTTCTGTCGATAATTGTTGAATAGCATTTAATGTGTTTTTTTTTTCTTATTTTAGTGTGTATGATTTTGCATTGTGTTTTTGCTGGAACGTTTCAGATAAATAGCACAGAGAATAGGTCAGTGCTTCATGTAGCTCTCCGAGCACCGAGGGATGCTGTTATATACAGTGATGGGAAGAATGTGGTGCCGGATGTTTGGAATGTTCTGGATAAGATCAAGGCTTTTTCAGAGAAAGTTCGCAGTGGCTCCTGGGTAATGCACAGCTGTTTTATTAATCCTCAAAGTTGAATATGTTTGTTCCTCTCTTGCTGAGAAACAAGTAAATCTTGGCAGGTTGGAGCTACTGGAAAACCACTGAAGGATGTTATTGCAATCGGTATTGGTGGCAGTTTCTTAGGTCCTTTATTTGTGCATACTGCCCTCCAAACAGGTTATGCTGGTGCATTTTACCATTAATTGCCCTCTTACTTGGTCTTTTTACTTGTAACCTATGAAGAAGGAAGTATGGCTGATGCATTTGGTTTACTCTTGACAACTCACAGACCCTGAGGCTGCTGAATTTGCAAAAGAACGGCAACTACGTTTGTAAGTACTTGTTTGTTACTGCAACTGGTATTTTCCCGTGTCTTCTTTCATTTTCCCTTTTTATGAAAAATAATGTAGAAGAAGAAGAACTGTATAATTGTCATATTAGAGGGAAGACTTGATACCAGATAGGCCTGCTAAGACTGGCATTGGCATAAGTGAGATCAAGTCAAAAGCATTTTGGTTGTGGTGGTTTCTCAACAAGAATGTGCCTGTTATTCTAGCTGCTTTTCTGACATTTGCATTGTAATTTGTAACTCCTGCATATATAGTAAATTGTTGATTCATTCGGTTATTCTAAAAATTCAACGTAATCTCTTGCTTGCATTTGCCACAGCCTTGCAAATGTGGATCCTATCGATGTCGCTAGAAACATTGCAGGATTAAACCCTGAAACCACTCTTGGTTAGTACTTCCTTTTTATTCATTGGAAACTGTGTTGTTATTCTATTGTATAAACTCCTTTTTTACAGGTTCTTCTTCTGATTTCATTTTGGTTGTAATTTTATCCAGTTGTGGTGGTTTCAAAGACTTTCACAACAGCAGAAACTATGTTGAATGCTCGAACATTAAGGGAATGGATTTCATCTGCTCTTGGGTTAGTGTCATGATAATACTACCTGTGTTATGACTAAATGCATGCAGTGGTAGTTTCAGATTCTGGTACTATTCTGCTCAAGTATTTTGGAACTATTTGTCAGTAATTTTAACAATTGAAATTCAGAGTGATAAAGCATTGAGGAATGTGTTCTAAAAACAGAGGAGATGTTCACATCTTTTAACACTTTGAATAAGTGTTTGATTTTCTCAATCTTGCTAGGCATCATTCTCAATATTCAATGAATTAATGCATAATCTAAAGTTTTCCCAGATTGGAGGGTTTTGGTTTTTTATTGCCTGTTATAACATTTCTGTGTATTTTGTGAATGATCTAGATTGTTTTCTTCTTTTTCCTATGTTAATGTGTGGTATGACCATTCTTTGTTACTAAGCCAATTGTGATCCAAAATGCTTTTTCAGGCCTTCTGCAGTTGCAAAGCACATGGTGGCAGTCAGTACTAATCTAACGGTATCAGTTTGTTCTTTCATCTCTTGAATTTGAGTGATTAAGCATTTGCTACGCTGCTAAGTACATATTGAATCATTTCTTTTGGGTTTGGTGCAGCAAATCAATCATTTCTAGCGTGCTAGAATACAGTTCCCAGCTTATGTTTGATAAAGTGAATATGTTTTTTCTCTTTTTGCTTGAAACAAATGGCTTCTTGATCATGCATTCCTCTTTCTTCAATTTTCGTGCTTGATAGCTTTAATCCTTCTTCTTATCAACTACTAAAGTGCTTATAAATATGCCTTCATTTCACGTATGAAACACTGGCATTGATCCTATGCAGCTTGTTGAAAAGTTTGGCATTGATACTAATAATGCATTTGCATTCTGGGATTGGGTTGGTGGTCGTTACAGTGGTAAGTTTTGATTCCCTGTCCCCTTGCTTCTCTCCAAAGATCATTTATGGTCATTTGACTTCTGTTGCAGCTTGAGACCTTTTCTAGTAAACTGTGGAAGATAATTAACCATGAAGTAAACTGCCATTTGCAGTTTGCAGTGCCGTTGGAGTATTGCCTTTATCTCTGCAGTATGGTTTCCCAATTATAGAAAAGTATGGTTACTTCTTATCATCTCAACTATATTGCATTCGCTTTGCATTGGTGCTTTTAACAATCACTCGTTTGTCTACTTATTTTTCATTTTGGCATGATTTGGTGTATACTCAAATAAGTTTTCTATTTGTTGCTTGAAGGTTCTTAAAGGGGGCTTCAAGTATTGATCAGCATTTCTGTTCAGCTCCTTTTGAGAATAATATACCTGTAAGTGCCTTTATATAACATCTACTTCCACTGCAGCTATTGGTCTTTGTTATTCGTTAGGTCCAATAAAATTATCTACCAGTGGTATATGGGGTTAATGAATTTGGCTAGAATCTTCTTTTAAATTGGATGGATTAACCCAGTATAAGCTATTTCTTTGTATTTCCCAAGTTGGATTTACCAGATGCCATGTTTGATTTCAGCACACGTTAGACTGTTTTGCTAACATAGGTTTGATCAATTATTCAATTTCTTTCCTGATTGGTATGATGGCATGCTTAATAATACTTGATGACATGTATGCTAACATTCTTCAGGTGCTGTTGGGTTTGCTCAGTGTATGGAACGTTTCATTTCTTGGCTATCCTGCAAGAGTGAGTATTTCTGCTTCAAACTTTAGTTAAACTTTCCATTTCTTGGTTCTTCCTCTGTTCTCCCTTTTTAAATGATTACTAGCCATCATGTAACACTTTAAGTGTATGTCAGGCCATTTTACCTTACTCCCAGGCCCTGGAGAAATTTGCTCCGCATATTCAACAGGCATGTTTGCTGAAACTCCTTTTTCTATTTATTTTTTTATTGGGCAGCATTTGTTTTTTGGGGGAGGGGGGAGGGGCGGGGGGGTTGGTGAAATTGTGTTTTCAAATCTTATACCTTGCTAAATTTACTTCAATTCAGGTCAGCATGGAGAGTAATGGCAAGGGGGTGTCAATTGATGGCGTGCCACTTCCTTATGAGGCTGGTGAAATTGATTTTGGTGAACCTGGAACAAATGGCCAGCACAGCTTTTATCAACTAATTCACCAGGTAATCTGCAGTGTTTTACATATGATAGAAGAATATTAGTTAGGTGATTCTTGTTGCATATAACGGTTTAGATCACCATGAAATTTTGAGGTAGGGATGGGAGAGCTGTGGATCTGCCCATAGGCAACCTTAATTTGGAAGCTTTTGCATAAAATGAAGAGACTAGAAAGCTTTATAAGACAATGGGCAAGATATGGCACATTATATTATTTAGTTCCCATGAAAATAATAAAATGAAGTACTAAAATGTGCTTGGAGAACTTTTAACTGGTTGAATAAAAGCTGTTTTTGAATGTTACTACCACATGGGTTCCAATGGACTCTCGAGATTTCAATGAGTCTTAATTTCACATATCTTTTTCCGTAGCTTTGATGGAAGGAACGTTTCTGTTACTGCACATCCTCAATGGCTTATCATCTGTGTCAATAGATTCAGCTTTTGGTACTCTCAAATTATCATGCTCAAGCGGTAAAGGGTGGGGTTGGGATTGTTCATCTTTTGGTATTTGTAGATTTAAGCTCTGTGCTAAACCACAAGGTGCTGCAAGCCAAAGCATTTTAACTTCTCTTTTGACATGTTCAGGGACGTGTAATTCCATGTGATTTCATTGGTATTGTGAAGAGCCAGCAGCCTGTGTACCTTAAAGGTATAATCCAATCTATTTCTGTATTGATTGTTAACTTGAAGATCATATATTTTGTTGTTTGTATTTCATTAATGAACTTTGATATTTATCATGATTATTATTATTATTGGCAGGTGAAGTGGTGAGCAACCATGATGAGCTCATGTCCAACTTTTTTGCACAGCCAGATGCCCTTGCATATGGGAAGGTAGGTTTTATGCTTTCTTAAGTGTCCATTATTTCTCTTTATTAGAAAGGGCAAATGTCATTAGGTTTCAAGCACTAAATCATTTAATTTTTTTATTCAATGAATTGTTGCCTAAAATCTATGTCATTGGTGAAAAACATTGATTCACTGCAGACAGCAGAGCAGTTGCTGAAGGAGAATGTTCCACAGCATCTAATTCCTCACAAGGTGATTTACTTTCAGCATTGTAACCAAGCTTTAGTTCATAGTAGGATCAATGTTGTAACTATTCTGTTATCTTCCATAGACATTCTCTGGGAATCGGCCTTCTCTCAGTCTCTTGCTTCCATCTCTGAATGCTTACAATATTGGGCAGGTGAGCGGTTTCTTCTCTGTAAATTTTAATGTTGCATATAATTGGTTATCACTGTTGAGGACTTTAATACTATTGATGTGGCTCTGCATCACTAAGTCAATTACTACCTCATAACTTATCTAGCTTTAATCTTCAAGTAGAAGAACTTGATGCATATAATGTGTTTCCATCTTTCTGCTCTAACATAATGACTTCTTGGCTGCCTCAGCTGTTGGCAAGCTATGAACATAGAATTGCTGTGGAAGGTTTTGTTTGGGGCATTAATTCTTTTGACCAGTGGGGAGTTGAGTTAGGGAAGGTATGTGTCACTGGACACTCCAAGATGTGCATTTGCCGAATGTTTCTTTGCAGTTTGTTTTTTCTGTCTCAACTTAGAATATCTGTTTTATTTTTATAAATGCAGTCACTAGCTACTCAAGTACGAAAACAGCTTCATGCATCACGTACAAAAGGAGATCCTGTCGAGGGCTTTAATTTCAGTACGACCACGTTGTTAACCAGATATCTAGAGGTAAGACAAATTCATCATTACTTTTAAGTGCGAGTGAAAATTGATTTTCCTTTTCATAGTTCTAAGCTTGCTAAGGGTTCAAAACCTTCTGTCAGGACCAGAATATATATCCCTCCTTTGAGAAAAAGAATGTTGACATAAATCACAACATTCTTAGTAGCTGATTTGATGTTGTGATTTATGTGAACATTCTTAGTGTCCAATACTAAGAAATATATATCCCTCCTTTAATGTCACAAGAAATACTGCAATGCTTGTTAACAAAAGAATATTTCTTAGTATCAGATTTGAATTTTATAATGGCGGGTAATCACAGTACTGGCATTTTCTCCCTATGGTGTTGCAATGTGGTGTTTTGAGCAATCAGTTGGAAATTTCCACCCATTTTTCTTTTAAAATTTCCTTAGGGATAAGGATTTTTTCAATAATATGACACTGCACTGTTACTGAAAAGTAAATTACTTGACAGGCAAGCTCTGATATCCCAGCTGACCCACCTACTATTCTACCTCGGATATAACTGCCTTGATGCATTGGCTCTATGGAAACATCCCCTGCACTATATAGCTTCATCTGTACCTGTCCTGCTTGAAATTTTTCCCGTTTGTTTTTTGGTGTATACGAAATTCCATTGAACCTTTTGGGTTATAAATTGGATGTAATAAATCTACAACGTTAGATTGTGGAATATTTACTTGAGGCTGCCAATAACAGTTTCAAAATCTTCTAAAGAATAGTTTGAATAATTGCACTTGCTTTGCACAGCATAGTGACAGATGAAGCTAGACGAAAACCAGGCTTGTTGAAAGCTCAAAGGGGAATTTCACGTTCTTATAGATGCCCTGTGTTTCTTAGCTATGAGGTTGTGCTATAGAACAGCTCGAAGTTCAAGTTTCTAGCAGGACCTGGAGGCTTAAGCATGCCGCATTGGCTCTCCTTTGAGTCTTTGTCACGGTAAGATTATCAAAATAGCTCAACAGGCTAGTTGAAAACGGAAGAAAAGAAATCGTTTGAAATAAAAATTCTTATGAATAAAGCCTAATTGTTCCTTGAAGGTAATCGAAGATTATTGGCTTCTCACTCTCAAGTAATTTTCAAGGCAAAGGCACGTGATTCTTTAAATTAAAAAAATTGTTGAATTAGACAAAGTCAATCCATGCTGGGCACAGAGGCACGTTATACATGCCATTTAGGCTTTAATCTTCTTCAATGCTTTCTCCTCCCTTTCCTTTTGTGGGCATCGCGGCCCTTGTTCTTCTTTACCTTGTAATCTTTTACCTAGATAGCCAGGATGATGATGATCAACCGAAGACGAAAGCAGCAGCAGCATACATACTAGCGAAGAAGAGAATTATTCAGGCTTGTCTATCGGAGAGATACAACAACTCCCTTGGTTTTCATTGTTGTGTAAATACCACGACGATCAGTGCTGTTTGCCTGGAGGTGCAGGATCATTCCAGTTTGTATATATATATTCCATGCACATTGTATTGGTGTTTGGTTGGTAAGAAAACCCACCTGCCCAAATTGCCGTTCCCTATTCAAACCGAAAGAACTTGCAGATATTGTATGAATTTAGGCCTATTGGTCCCTATTTATTTGTGGGTATAATAATTTCATAGCACAGAAAATATGATATTGACACGTACAATCAGAAACCAGAAACTAACACAACTGTACCATAATGTAAAAGATCAGTGAGATAGCTCAGTTACTGCTGGACATGTAAGGGTCTTTACAATTCAAAACACCATGAGAAGAAAAACAAAGCAGCTTTCCTCACCATTGATTCGACTAAACCACCCAACAAAGTTTAACCCTCTAAAATGACCCCTAATCCTAACCCATTACACAGGAAAATGAAGAACCCATAGATTCAAAGACCGGTAGATCCAAATCCGCCAGCACCTCTTGCAGTGGAATCCAGATCATCAACTTCCAAAACATCGGGTGTCATGATCTTCTCAATAACCAACTGCGCAATTCTGTCACCCACTTTCACTTCAAAGTCAACATCCGAATGATTGAACAAAATAACCCCAAGAGGGCCCCTGTAATCAGCATCGATTACCCCTGCACCCACATCAATGGAGTGCTTCCAAGCCAAACCAGACCTCGGTGCTATACCCAAAAAAAAAAAAAACCCAAAGTTTCACTCTACCAACGAAATCGATTAACCTGGAATAGTATAAAGATGAAATGTATAAAGTACAGAGATTTATACCAACGCGACCATAGGTGCCTTCAGGTATTGCAATGCTTAGATCAGTAGGAACCAGGGCTTTTCCTCTAGCTGGCACTTTGGTATCCGTTGCACTGTACCAGAAATTAAAAAAAAGAAGGAAAAACCCATCAATTTTATTCTAAATCCAACGTGATTTTCATGAAGGATAAGGTTTTGAGGATTTACCTTGACAGATCGTAGCCAGCAGCGAGAGGGGAACCTCTTGAAGGCAACACGGCTTTTTCAGACAGCCTTTTAACTCTCAAAACGGAGACAGCACCTTGAGCAACTTCGTGCACCCCATTCTGACTGAGTTTTGGGACTTTCGGAGACGGCTCTTTGATTTCAGAGCTGGTCTTAAGCTGATCTGCTTGGGCCATTTTGAATGATCTTGAAAACGAAAAGCAAACTGACAGAGGGTTCAAACGAATGGGTTTGAAGACTAGCATTCCTGAAGCATCGCCATTGTTGTTATATATACATGAATGAACCCTGGAATTTCGGTCTTTGTGATGGCGCCAAGTGTTCCCGCCATTTTCACTGCAGCAATGTGCGCCGCTCTGTTTCAAAAGTGCGGAACAAATTTACGTGGTGCGCTGCTTTAATTTCCAAAAACGACATTCCTTTACGTCGTAGCATATTTCCACCCTAACCTGGGCGGTCGTGGCGTATTGCGCACCAATCGAACCAAAAACGGATACACACTTTTTTTCTTTCCTCACCAAGACCTCGCGTGTAACTCACGGAAAGAATTATACGGAAAGCGTGCTTTCCACGTAGTTCGTCTAGCGCGTAGATGTTATCGACCGGATAATCATAAGAATCCGTCCAACAGTAACTATAGTTGGACAACAAATTAACCCCTACTCACTAACGTAAGCCGTAACCTATCCCTCCATAATTTTATCTTTTTACCACTTTTTTATTATAATTTGTTTTTTTTCACCGAACCTATATTTCCCCCGTCTCTTCACGATCTTCCTTTTCTCACCCCGCTTAAGAGCACGAGAAAAAAGGAAAAAAGAAAAGAAAAACAGCAACAAGGGTTTTCCTTTGGTTTTCTCTCTTCAGTTCTTTCAACTTTCACCGATCATCCATGGCTCATAGCTCTGCCTCCGATTCCCGCCAACACCTCACTGTCAACCCTCCCCACCCGATCTCCAAAGGTATTTTACCCCAGGGCTTCCCTTTTCTGTTCTCTCATTTAGGATTAATGGCTCCTTTCATTCGTCAGAGTAAAACCCTAGCTCAGACCTTTTCTTACTCCCTTGTGCTCATTTCCTCGTGTTATTGAAGCATTATTGTAGATTCAGTGGTTTTGCGAGATTGGTGCGGTTATTATTGTTTTTGTTTGCTCGAAGTTAGGGTTTTTGGTTTTATCGCTTGGAAATGCCAGGCTTTTGTTCTTTTTTTTTTGTTTCTCTGGTGTCATTTTTAGTGCCGTCTGGTTATTGAAATGTGAAGAAGAGAAATAAGGATAGCTTTAAGCTGTTCACTAGTGCGGCGCACTTTAGTTACCGAACTGAAAATATATTTTTTTAAAAATTATTTTCAATGTTAAAAGTGCGATTTGATGGCGACGTACTGACGTTATTCTTTTTGTTTTTAATTAATTCGACTCAAAAAGGCGATTATTGGACATACTTTTTGATTTCATTTCTTGTACAATTTTATTACAGAGTAATTTCTTTCAACCACTTGTTAGATGCTAGGATTTATGTGATTAATCTTATATATCTTATTCCATGATCAGTGACGACTTAACTTTTTGCTATCTACTGATGTTTTAAATTTCAGATCATTAACTGTTTCAGGATTTGCTTTTTCTAAGACATCTCTATGTGCTAGTTTAATTTAGTTGCAATGCATTGCTGCATCTGAAAGTCCATTGACACTTTGCAAACGATTTTTGTCTTTACACCTGATTTTTTTTTCCCTCATTCATGATTGTTTTCCCTCTTATCCGATGTTAAACCAATGTGGGAGTTTCAAGAGGCAAGTTTGGTCATTTCTTAAAAATCTGTTTCTATAAAATTCATTTCTTGTATATGTGCTAGTGTACCTGTTGTGTGTTATCGTTTGGGCGTAAGTTTAAGCATTTTAATTACAAACACTTACTTTGGATATATGCCATTTTTCTAATTGGTGTATCTGTTTGATTTATGCAGATGTTCAGGGATCTGAGAATCCTATTCCGCTTTCTCCACAATGGCTTCTGCCAAAGCCAGGGGAGAGTAAGCCTGGACTAGGAACTGTGGTATGTTGTTTTTTGGCTATAGAATTCTCGTTGTTTATTTGTAGACTTGGGTTTTATGTTGTTTGAATGCTTCTTGCATCTTCATTTCAACAAACTGTTCTCATCTCAAGAATTAGTTAGTGTTTTGTTTAGTATTCTTACTGTGTCAGAGGTGCTTCTTTTTACCCCTTGATATTCAATTACCTATACAGGAAAGTCATCCTGCTCCTTATATAGCTCATGGCAGTCGCTCTGATGTCATGAAGCCATCAGGAAATGGTGAGGAGATGCATGATACCCTGAAGAAGAAGGATGTTTTCAGGCCATCCTTACTTGATATGGAAACTGGTCGCCGAGACCGCTGGCGTGATGAAGAACGAGACACCCATTCATCTGTGCGCAAAGATCACTGGAGGGATGGAGATAAAGAGCTCAGTGACACCCGCAGAATGGATCGATGGGCAGATAACTTGCCTTCAAGACACTTCGGAGAAGCACGCCGTCCTCCCTCTGAGCGGTGGACTGACTCAGGTAACAGGGACTCAAACTATGATCAACGGCGTGAGAGCAAATGGAACACACGCTGGGGACCTGATGATAAAGACACTGAAAGCTTGCGTGACAAGTGGACGGACTCTGGCAGAGATGGTGATATGCCTCTTGATAAAGGGCTGTCACATCTTTCTAGTCACGGGAAGGATGAGAGGGAGGGGGATCACTATCGGCCATGGAGATCCACCTCTTCTCAAAGTCGAGGAAGGGGAGAGCCTCCTCATCACCAAACACTAACTCCAAGCAAACAGGTTCCCACATTTTCCTACAGCCGGGGACGTGGAGAAAACCACCCTTCAACATTTTCTGCTGGCCGTGGAAGGGGAAGTTCTGGTGGAAATCCAGTGGCTAGCGTATCTTCTCATCGTCAATCTCTCGGAACCATATCAGACAAGAGTGAAATTGGCCATGGGGAGCCGTCCCCTTTAAGATATAATAGGACAAAATTGCTTGAGTTATATAGGAGAACTGACATGAGAATTTATCAAAAACTCATAGAAGAACTTGTACAAGTGCCTTCTCTTACACAGAATGAACCATTGGAACCTCTAGCTCTTTGTGCTCCAAATTCTGATGAAATGGTAAATTTCTTTCTCTGTATTATAATGGTGACGTTCGATTTAGACTCTGCTATTGATTTGATTGCCTTTTGGACAGGTTGTTCTGAAGGGAATTGACAAAGGGGACATAACAAGTAGTGGTGCTCCTCAGGTGCCTAAAGATGGGCCTGCTGGCCGGAACTCAATAGAGTTTACTCATTCAAGACGAAACAAGATTGGTATTCTACCAGTTCAAGATAAATTACTCCTGTATATCTGTGCTTATTTTGGTGTAGTGTCTAATTTCTGCTTGGATTGGTTTACGCAGGCAGCAGGGAAGATTTACTGCCTGCTGTTGACGATTGTAAAGATGAAAGTGTGGATGTTCCGAAGAGCAGTTATTCAAATTACTTAGAGGGTTCGCCACTTGAAAAGCATAAGGGATACCCAGACAGTAAATTCAAACCCGAAGGTATAATTACATAAACTGTTTAGTTTATATTTCATTCCAATGGCAACCATCCTGCAAATTATTTTATTGGCTATGAAAAGTCTTCTCATTTGAAGGTTTTGAACCATATCAGATATGGTTCATTGCTACATCTTTTTAAGAATTACTGTTATATGGGTTGGAATAAAGAAGGCTTCAGTTAGCCAAGCCCAATCAGTTTGTCTTGGGGATTAAGGGTTAGTTCAGATTTGTTATGGGGAAGGAGATAATCAGCTCTTATAGATAACATTTGTATGTTGAATGGATTGGTAAGTTAGTTTAATATGATTGGTGTTTTGAGGTTTTTTGCACACTGATTTTCAGCTTTTGTCGTTCTGTCTGAAATTCAGTGCGCTGTACCGCTTTGTGTAGATCTGACATATTGCTTGCTTGCTCTATCTTGACAGCATCAGTGTTTCTATTATGTGACTACTACCATTGATCTTTTATGCACTTATATTTTTGCAGCTATGGATGATACCGGTTCTTACAGAAAGGCTGATGAGGTGCCCATAAGTAGGGAAATAAGCTCACAAGTGACTAACTCTGTTAATCCTGGCACCATGTGGCGAGCCTCATCTTTGGGAGAACGGTCACATACAGTGGCACATGATTGGAAGGAGATTCCAAATGATGTCAGGTCAAGAACCCCTGATATATGCTGGTCACAACCACAGAACGATATGATTAACCAACGAGAAAGTAATGTGATGAATTCATCCTATTCCAGAGATGAAACGAATTGGCAAACCAGTGAGGATCCTATTCTTAAGAGGCAACCATCTGGAGTTTTGGAGAGGGAACCTGAACTGAGGAAGCTGCCTGCTCCAGAGGACCTTCTCCTACACTACAAAGATCCTCAAGGTGAAATTCAAGGCCCTTTTTCAGGGATTGACATTATAGGTTGGTTTGAGGCAGGATATTTTGGGATAGATTTGGAAGTTCGGCTTGCAAGTGCACCCAAGGACTCACCGTTTTCTTTACTTGGTGATGTAATGCCACATTTACGAGCTAAAGCACGACCACCACCTGGATTTGGTGTGCAAAAACAGGGTGAACTCTCAGATGTGTCAAGCAGGCCAAACTTGAGTAGCTTTGGGAAAGTTCATGTTGGTGCAAGTGAGGTTGATATTATCAGAAATGAGCCAAGACCTAAACATGGTTCAACAACAGAAGCTGAAAATAGGTTTCTGGAGTCACTCATGTCTGGCAGCTTGAGCAATCCATCTCAAGGTTAGGTTTTAACATACAGAAACAGATTTATTTAATTTATTTGATATAATCTAGTGTGCTGAACTCTGAAAGGTAAAGTATTCTAGTTTTTTGATCTATAAGGAATCCCCCCTCCCCACCCCCGGAAGTTTATTCAATCTTTCTTCTAGTATTTTCAAACGGGTGACAGCTTAACGTATCTCGTATGGTTTTGATTTAGGTCTGCAAGGCTATATTGCTAATAATTCTAGTAGCATTCCGGCATCTGGTATAGAAAGTGGAAATGACCTCTATCTCTTGGCCAAGAGAATGACGCTTGAAAGGCAGAGGTCATTACCAAAACCCTACCCTTATTGGCCAGGGAGAGATGCTGCATCTATGGTTTCAAAGTCAGAGATCATCTCTGACTCACCTGCACCTCATGCAAAGCTCCTAACATCATTGACTGACAACATTCTTCAGCCACCTCATTCACAAGGTGCTGATATGATGTCCATCCTCCAAGGATTATCTGAAAGATCTGCTCCTGGAGTAAACAATAGTGTTGGTGGTTGGTCAAAGTTCCCATCACAAGGTGCTTTGGATCCTCTTCAAGATAAGATTGAGTTACATCACGCGCAGAGTTTTCCAACCCAAGCATCATTTGGGATCCAGCAACAGAGGCTGCAAACACCAACCCCACCTTCCTTGACAAGTTTGCTTGGTCAAACTATGGATAACTCATCTGGTATTTTAACATCAGAAAAGTTGATCTCCTCTGGTTTATCTCAAGACCCCCAACTGCTATTGTTGCAGCAGCAGCAGCAATATTTGATGCAGCAGCTACCACCCCAGGCATCAGTAACTACACAACATATGTTATTACTTGAGAAGATCATGTTGCTTAAGCAGCAACAGAGACAGGAGGAACAGCAACAGTTGTTACGGCAACAACAGTTGCTTTCACAGGTTTATCAAGAACATCAGTCCCAGCAGCATTTTGGTGAGCCTTCTTATGGACACTTACAGGCTACTACAATGCCAACTGGAAATGCATCAGTGGATCCCAATCGACTCCAGTCATCACAAGATATGCTTCAGATTGGCTCACAGATACAACTCCCAGCCACCCAAGATGAACATGCCAATAACTTTATGAATCTGCCTCCGCAAGCTACCAAGGATATGGGTTATGCTGTTAGTTCTGAAGCTCCTCTGCATTTGCCGCACCAGATGTTTGGTAGTATCAATCGTCAGATGAGCTGGGGAACTAATGCCCCAGAACAGGTTAATGACATTCAACAGTCTTTGCCAGTGACAACAATTGTTGAAAGCTCACCTTCAATGGAAGTGATGACTTTATCCTCCCAGGAGGCTGCTCTTGTGCAGGCCCCCTTCATTGCTTCTGACTGTCATGCTCTTAAACCGGAGCAGCCACTGGACGATGCTCAGAAGATGGATGACATTGTACCAATTGCAGCCGCAGGGAATGATGCAAATTGTGTAACTCTGGAGCACCCTGAAATTGCTATTACTAGAACCTCTAAAATTGATACACCTATTAATGAGCATGTTCAACCTACTGCTGCTATTGATGAACTGCAAGTTGAAAGAGAAAGAAGTGATGATCAGCCTTCTGTGGTGAGAGAAGTTAAGAATGTTGAAGCTCGTGAGGTAAGAAAAGCTTCAGAAAAGAAGACTAGAAAGCAAAAATCTAGTAAGTCGTTACAAGCTTCTGACCAGGCAAAGGGAGTTGCAAAGGCTTCCTCTTCGGTGCAGTTGAAACCATCTGAAACTGAAGAGCCAGTTGTTGGTGACACTAACACTGCAGGAGATAACCTTTATGGAACATCTCCAAGAAAGAGGGAAGAGAATAAATCCAGAATTGCCACCGTTGTCCACATGGATTCTCAATATGTTCAAAGCTCTTCAGCTGCAAATGTTGGTATTGCTGATGCTGAAACCACAGAACACAAGGGTGAATCCAGACTTTCTGATTCTTTTCCAGCACAGAACACGCCGATACAGCCTGCCTTACGTGCTTGGAAACCTGCTCCTGGTTTCAAGGCAAAGTCATTGTTGGAAATACAACAGGAAGAACAAAGGAAGGCACAAGCTGAGATGGCTGTATCAGAGATTACTTCTTCTGTGAACTCCATGAGTTTGTCAACTCCTTGGGCTGGAGTTGTGGTTAGCTTGGAACCCAAAGTTTCTAGAGAAAGTCAAAGAGATGCAGATATTATCGAGGCAGCTGTTGGGAAACCTGACAATTCTGCAAATCCAAATAGTGAAAAGAGCCCATTACATGATCTGTTGGCAGAAGAAGTTTTGGGAAAATCCAGCGAAAGAGATGCAGATGTTCCTGACAGTATTTCTACTTTATCGTCTGTTCATATTACCACCACAAATGTGGAACCTATTGATGATGACAACTTTATTGAGGCGAAAGAAACTAAAAAGAGTCGGAAAAAGTCTGCAAAAGCAAAGGGTGCAGGAGCAAAAGTGTCGGTTCCTCTTACTCCTGCTGAAGTGCCTGTTAGTGCAAGTCCTGTTGAGAAAGGCAGAAGTTCTCGTCCTGCGCAGCTGGAGAAGGAAGTATTGCCTTCAATTCCGTCAGGTCCTTCTTTGGGAGATTTTGTTCCTTGGAAAGGGGAGCAAGTAAACCCTTCCCCTGTGCCAGCTTGGTCTACTGATTCTAAGAAACTTTCTAAACCCACATCATTAAGAGACATCCAAAAGGAGCAGCAGAAGAGGAATTCCTCTGTCCAGCCCACAAATCCAATACCAACTCCTCAAAAATCCCAGCCAAGTCAGTCAACTCATGGTGCTGCTTCATCATGGTCCATCACTGCATCTTCACCATCGAAGGTTGCATCTCCCATCCATATTAATTCACATGCATCTTCTCAGTCAAAATATAAAGTCGAAGATGACCTATTCTGGGGCCCTATTGATCAGACAAAGCAAGAAACAAAGCAGTGAGTTCTCTTCACCAATCCACCCCGTCCCCCCTGCAAAACGTAAAAACACACACAGACACACACACACACACACACGCACACACTCATGCTTAAATGTTTACGGTTCTTCAGTATTGTCATTGCTAGAGTGAATTGGAAAGTTGGGTCTATCTCTTGTTATTTCATCAGTTATCCTGTTCAGCAACTCCTTATCTGGAGTACTTGTTAAATCAATGTTACTTCATATAACCTGCACACAGCTAAGTATGGCAGCTAGAGAGTGATATTATTCTAGTGAAAAGAAAATTTAGATTTTGACGTAAACTTTAATATAATTATCCCAATTTTTGGAGTCAATGCGGGAATACTCTTTGCCATTTTTATCCCATCCAAAGCCAAGACTTATAATACATCCTTGCAAACAGAGAAAAGTAAATGTTTATCCTTGCTGACTTTACATTAATGAGATTCAGTCAATTATTCCCTACAGATGTGAATTTTTGTTATCTTTTGTTGTAAACAGAGCTGATTTCCCGCATCTAGCAAACATGGGCAGTTGGGGAACCAAAAATACTCCTGTTAAAGGAATTGCAAGCGGGTCATTAAGCCGACAGAAGTCAGTGGGTGGCAGACAAATTGAGACTACTCTGTCATCCTCTCCTGCCTCTGCATCTTCCCTCAAAGGGAAAAGGGACACATCGGCCAAGCATTCTGGTAAGTCATCCTGAGATGATTAAGGTCTTTGTAGAAAAAGTTTGTTGCTTTTTATTAACTACTTGCTATAAAAAATTTGACATCATGTGCATTTCACTTTTATGCAGAGGCCATGGATTTCAGAGAGTGGTGCGAGAGTGAGTGTGTTAGGCTTATTGGGACAAAAGGTATGGCGTTTTGCTATGTGGTATAAGTTATACCTATTCTAGGTAGAAGACTATGTTTGTATATTATCCTGTTTTCTTTTTGTTGTAATACAGAGCATGTCATTTTCGGGTTTAACCTCTTCTTTTCAGCATAAGATGATGTACTAATAATTGCTCGTCCTATCTCTAATTCTGTGAATCTATCATTCTAGTCTTCTAGATATAAAAGCTGGTTGAATACTTGGTGATTGTTGGCATTTTAACCTTGTTTCACTTTTCCTTTCTCTTTGCTAGATACAAGTTTCTTGGAATTTTGTTTGAAGCAATCTAGATCAGAGGCTCAGATACTTCTGGTAGAGAACCTCGGTTCATTTGATCCGAACCACGAGTTCATTGAGAAATTTCTCAACTACAAGGAGTTGTTACCAGCAGACGTACTTGAGATTGCCTTTCAAAATCGAAATGACCTAAAGTTCACAGAGGCAAGTGCCAGAAATGTAAATTCTGGCAATACGGCTGCTGGTGACTTTGACCAGGATAATGCAGTCGGCCCAGATGGTTCTTCAAAGGGCGGAAGCAAGAGGAAGGGGAAGAAGGGAAAGAAGGTGAGTCCCGCTGTTTTGGGATTCAACGTTGTCAGTAACCGGATCATGATGGGTGAGATTCAGACGGTAGAAGATTGATATTTTCGAGAGAACATAGTGGGTGAGATTCAGAGGGTAGAAGATTTTCGAGAGGTCGGTGTAAATACATTTGGCTTTACTGTTTGTAAATGTTCTAAGTTGGGATTTTTTCCCCCGCCTCCTTACAGAGTAACAGCAGCAGCAGTAATTTTGAATCTGCTCAAGCGATTTTGTTGAAGAAGATGTCAGTTGCGGTGAAGTCATTTATTTTTAATTACAAGAGAGGTTCATCATAGCAGCAATGTGCTCTGTGTATTCGTTGTTAGGTTTATTCTTTCAAGTTTCAACGCATTTAAAATATTTCATATATGAAGGAAGACATGAAATACAGATATCTTGCACATTAGAAACAAAGGAATTTAGCAACATGGAGGCCACATTTCTTCCTCCAATGTATCCACCACGTACGAATAGAATTAATATTCCGTAAGTGTACTTGTCCACAATGCAAGGACCTAGACTTGACTCAAAGCATCCATTTTTACACTTCAACATCTCAATTCTCAAAGACGTCAAGCTTCCACTGCTTATTCAAAGGTGGAAGGTGGGAAAATTGGACACCAGCAATTGGAATTACCAATTCATCTTTCGTGTGCCATTTCCTCCGAACTTGAAGCAGAAGGAGAGATTGCAAGGGTGAAACTGGCAACTCGTATGGTATGGGGGAATTCCTGTTATTGCATAGTCCCAGTTACAGCTATGTCCTTTGGTTCATCAGCTTGATTGAAAGTCTTTCTTCCTTGACTGGTACTCTGGACATTACAACAAGATGACGAATGTTAGAAACCTACTTATTTGTCACATCATATGAAGAAATGACTTGTTCATAATAAAAAAAACAGCAGAGAAATTCCCGAGTTATTAATAGAAAATTATTCGAACCATGGGCAAAAGAGATCCAAATTAACCCCAAAATAGCATGGTTTTAGAGAAGTAATTAAGAAAAAGGAATGCTGATTTGATTATCTATTAGGAGGTACAGGACATTCGCACACCCCCATCCCTTCTAACAGAACTTTACTATAAACCAATCTCTGAATTGATAACAATAAAAGAATCTAACTTCCATGGCATTCGGACAAATCCTGGATTTTTCTGAGTTAACAGGAAATGTTACTTAAATCTGAAGGGAACCAACCAAGAGGAACAAGCAACCTTTTTAATCATTAAAAAAATAATTAAAATAAAGCACCCTCACTGAATTGCGGGATCCTATTACTTGTTCAGAACAGTGCACTCAAATTCTCCAAATCTTTGGAATTCAACTTATGCCCACAGCAATGAAAGAATGAAACCAGGCTCTAATCTTTACATGAAGCTATGGGGTAGATCAAAATCATGTAACAGGGATCAATATCAGAGGAAGAGAATGGTGACCTTTGATTTTGGGGAGAGCGGATCAAGATTTAGGGAGCGCATGGATAATTTGGCAATCTCAGACATAGCAGTGTCTCGAACTCCAGGAACATCACTTGATAAATATTCATAAGCAGCCTCAAAAGCTTCAAGCCAAAACTTCGGCAAACGAAGGCTAGCGCTATGCGTATAAACATCCCACATCTTCCTCACCACCTTCTCTCTATCTTCCAATTCCTAGGATGAGACAAACGAGTCAATCCCAAAGAGAAAAAGAAAAGAGAGAGAGAGAGAGAGAGATTGATTGCTTACGAGGACGTCGAGATCGTCATAGACAGAGAACTCAGAGTCATCAGAGAATCTAGTAAGGTCACCAGAAGACCATTTGAGAGAAACAGAGCCAGTGAACATGGACCAGAAAGCAAGTAAGAGAATTGCAGCCAAGACCCAGAATTTGTACCCACTTCTACCGACGAAACCCGCGACAGAGCTGTGTTTATTCGCACTGCCTGCCGTTTGTTGCTGTACGGGAATCGCTATCGAAACCACTGTCGGTGAATCCTGGCCCTTCATTCTCAGCTCTCAACCACAAAGTTTTGAAGCCGCTTGCCTGTTTTTGCTAGAACCAGTGATTGGGATAGAGAGCAGAAAGAAAGAATTGACTGTTATTATTAGAGAGAGTGGAAGAGGGAGCAGAAAGGTAGGTGAAGTGTCATAATAATGGGAGGAAGAGAAGACTTTGCAGTAATTAAACCATTAACATGATATTCAGCCACGAGAGTTTCGGTTTTAGGCCTTTTAGCAACTACCGGCGCTGTTTTTGCTTTTGGTGGGTCCAACGAGGCGCCGTTACATGCGACTTTAATGTCTTACCACCCTTTGACCACCGCGTTTCCTCGGGTTGACTTTTACACCCGTGACGGTGCTCTAAGCAAACGATTAAATATAAGGTTAAGACATGATTAGTGTTAATCAATGTTTAAATGGTGACATAATGAAAGACGGAAAGCGTAACGTTGAAGAACATTACATTGTCCTTTTTCTCGTACACAATCTCAAAGTAACACAACTCATAGTGAATCAATGTCTGTCTTTGAACTAGTTTGGTCTTACAAGACAGTGTCGAAGTAATATTTACTCAAATTTCCATCTAGTGTGGGTCATTTGATTTTATTCCAAGAGCTACTAACAGAGTACAAAGCGGGTGGGAAAGCTAAGTCCCATAACCAAATACTAATATTTACAGGTAAATAGCACGAACAAAAGACATATCATTGTCCCCACTGCTTGACTGCCTTGAGGATAGATATGATGTAGAAACCACCCCAGACAAACGAAGATTACAGCAACACATGGGACAACAGTCTTTGTCTTAGATTTACAGCACCATATCCAAGCGTAAGAAGAACAAGATTTGACCATCCATTTCTACCATAGGCGAGACCAACCTGATCCCACTAAGCCTCATAATGCTTTATCCAGCAGTTAGGTACAGTTGTGGCTTTGTGGTTTCCACATTGTTCTGGATAAGCTTATCACTTGACCAACCAACTACCGTTGTGATTCCAATGGGGGAACAGAGCCTTCATAGCCAGATAAGGCAAAAATTTAACGTCAATTGTTTGTTCTGCATCATTGGGCCCTAACTGTTGACTTTGTCGAGTTCATAATCTTTTAAACAGATTAACCTTTTACATCCATTGATGTGGTCAGCAAAAGAAGCCACCCACCCAATGCATATCAAAGCATCAAACTACAGCATGAAATATACAAAGATAATCAATCAAAGAATGTGATAGAAAGGGCAATAAAACATAAAGCCAATATCAACAATAATCATTAACAGATCTCCATTGAATTACATTTGATCTGTTCAGCTAAACACAATGCTAAAATAAAAGCAATTAAATTAATCTACAATTAACTAAGACTAAGTTTGAGTTTAGTGTACTACATGTGGAGCACTTTTCTTGCATTTTAATTGGATGTTAAACCAAATATGGAATGTCTTTACATCCAATTAAAACACAGGAAAAGTACCACACATACAGCAGCATACCAACCACATCCTAGGTGCTACCACTCTATCACTGCAATACATCCCACTAAATCCATACCAGACCTATGTGAACCCAATACAATTTAGAGATGCAGAGCAGCGGAGAGAAAAATTCCACCACCTTGCACCATTGATCCAAAAATCCCACACCACACTTTGCCATCCAGCCAAATCAGCCCCATATCAGCTAGCTTGATCATTCAAGCTAATCAGAACTTCAAATCTCCTGTTATAAAAAAAAATACACATCTAGAAATAGCCTTAAAATCAAACATGAGCTCCCAAACTAATATATATGTTCCTAAAGATTATACAAAGATGAAAATCCAGTGGTGTTGATCAACCAGAATTGCAAAAGTCTTCACAATCTTAAAATCTTCAACTCAAAAAACTTCTGGACAACATCCACATGGTCATAAGGTCCTTTGCAAAGCTCTACCTTAATCCATGTAGAAGTATGATAAATTGTTACCAAATGCATAAGAGCACTAGTTAAATTTACTATTTAAAGAAATATCTACATTCAATGCATAGAAAATCATCAAAATAATTGTGAACAACTGCATTTTATATGAAAGACATTTCTATAAATAGCACCTTAACGAATACTCTTAAGGCAGTAGATAACAAGTTCACCAAACATTTTACAGAACCTGATATTTGTTTAGCATGAAACACAAAGGATTTACTACAAAAACAAGCAGACTAAACTCAAGATACATTCCAAATAAAACCAAGAACCATCAGTGCTGCAAGTGCATAAGTAAGAACTTCACAAACCCAAGTCTATTTCAAGAGTTATTTCACCATGCAGCCATATAGATTGATAATACTTTGCTCAGAAGATGCATAGCTATAGCTAATCATAGACTAATATCATATGTCCAGACATAATTTAAGCAACTTCATCATTGCATAAAAAGATAAATCTTTTCAGCTTTAAACTACAAAGTTCAAAAAAGAAAAGAACTCAGAAAACAAAGAGAGCTTGAAATAATTGAAACTCAGAGAAATTCCACAAGTGGAAAATTGCAGACATACAACATGGCATCAGATTCAGACCGCCCGTCTGCTTCTTCTCATCATTGAAAATAATATTAAAATCAAATAAAATAAAAAATTTTACAAAACAAAATGGTAAAAAAAAAGGAGAATCTTAAACTCAGTTGAGCGAAGGCATCAGATAATAAGCGGAGTTTATCAGTCTACATTCATGTTTCAGAGTGTAGGATAAGAAACTTTACATCATCTGCCTTCACTTCAAAACCATAAAATCAAATAAAAAGAGAAAATTAAAAGAAAAATTGGCATCAGAATATCAATAAGCGGAAAACTGATTCAACACGGTTCATCAGAGTGTAGGATAAGATAAGCATTCATCCCTTGCCAACAACAAAAGCTTCTACTTGGATTTATAAACTAAGCAAAAAGCAGTAATTTTTTCTTCTAAAAGGAAATATCGGTAAGTCCATTTGACACCAAGGCAAATAAAGATAATGCAATGGGCTGGTAAGCTAACCTCTCGCTATCTGCATCCGTTATATCTCCTTAAGCATCACTTACTTTTGCTTCAAAAAGGAGAGGGTAAACAGATGCAAGGAAAGAAAAATCCAAACCAAAAAGAAAAAATTTGTAATTTGTTTTGATTTTAGGAATCGAAATTTAAAATAAGATGGAAATTTCCAGCTAGGGTTTTCCTCACCAAAATCAATTGCAGGAAGAAGATAATCAACAGAGAAAGAGAGAGAAATCTTCAGAGGCGGCAAGCTGAGAAGAAGCTAGGGCTCTTTAGTAGCTTAAATAGAGTTTACAGGAATTAGGGTTTTCAGCGTGAGCCCTTTTTTTTTTGTTAACTGGGAAGTGTCTACTGTTGACTAAAGCGGCGCCGTTTATTTGGGCCTTTTGAGGGATTTTGTTCCCAAAATGGGCTGAAAGGGCCTGTTATAACATCAAAATGGGCCGAATATATTCACTGACATGGGCCTCGCCAGGCCCAAGAGCTTAAACTGTTTTTTGCAGGCTAATGGTTTTAGTCTTGGATAGTAAGATAAATTTTCCACCAACAAAGAATTCAGCAAAGCTTAATTAGCCATGGACGACTGAAGCGATTCTCAAATTTACCTATATGTACACGCATTTTTGTTCGACTTTCCTTTGTGTTTCAACTTCTACAAAGAAAAAAAAAGGAAAAGGAAAAGGAAAGGAACTCTAAGCTTATCATTGCTCTCCACCTTCTTGCTCTCTCTTGAGATCAGCTGGAGGCAGGAAGGTTTCATTGGACAACCCACAAATGTTGAAATCAACCTCATCGATCCTCCAAGTTTCTTCAATCTTCCTCTTCTGATTATATGACTTCCCGTATCTGTAAAGTGTCGTGATCGTCTTCCCACTGTGTGCTATGTTGATGCCATCGATGTACTTGTAATCTTGGACCACTGTCTCCACGCTGGTCTCCCAAAACGCACAGTCGTTTCCCTTGACGGGTTTCATCCTGACCAGCTTCGTGTCCTCGAACTTGACGAGGAGTCCTGTTCTTTGGCTGAAGTACCCCCAGATTGTGTGGTGGATGATTTCTGTTTGCGCTGAACTCTGCACTTTGAGGGCGTTTGCAGCAGTTTCAAGCTTGAGAACGAAACAATCTTCGTTGTTAATAGCCTGCTCTCCTATGCAAACCGCATCCAAGAATAAGCTAGCAGTGCACCTGGGGTCCAGGCCCTGAGGAATCCACAGGGTGAATATCATGGAAGTTAGATTCAATGCAGCATAAGACAGTACTATATGAAAGTTCCAGTCATATTATTTCTGTGAATAGGTTTTCGTGGCCTAAGTTACCAGAAATAATTGGTTCACAATGTTTTTGATTTGATTAAAGAACTAATTAGAATAAGAAAATCTTTGGGCCAACTACAAGAGGGAAAAGTTTCACAGCATGTAACAGCATTGTTCCACAACAATGAATCCAGCTCCATCCTTGATTTCTATCATAACATTCACGTTATAACATCCTTGTCCGACCAAATTCATTACATCAAGGTTCCAACAAAACCATCTAAAGAGGAAAATTACCTGGAAGAATCGGCGAAGGGGTCGTGGAGGGCCTCTACTTGCATGACCAGGTTGTGAGGACGACTGGTTCCAGGCAACCTTACCGTCACTGCCTGCACTGACCTTGAAACCAGAGACAACTAGTTCTAAATACCACAAATCCGGGTTCTTTTGCCATAACACAAACCCGCCGACCTCGCAGTTGCCTCGGGTATGCACGCTATCATCACCCTGCTGCATCTCTGACCCCTGCATTTTCACCTGTCCCACTGCATACATGCTAGTCATTGAAGTCAACGCCAAATGTCCTCCGGTAGCGGCTACATACTGCTGTACTATATATTTTGCAGTAGAAGCTTCCTGTTCATACAACAAGAATCTTGTTATCTATGTACTATGTCTCTGTGTGTGTGTGTGTGAATATTCCAGGAATGAAGGAAGATATGGAAGAGTTGTACTCACAATAGAACAATCTTTCGAATTCAGGGGACCTGAAAGTGTATAATTCTCTAAATGAACCTGGAAAGGGATGAGAGGGGCGCCAACAATCTTAAGCAAGGCCAAGAACTCATTGTCTGATTTGGCTTGGAGATGGGTTGACCTGTCAAAAGCTGATTGAGCTTTCATCAAGGCACGCATGTTTTGCCACCGCAAAGCTGCATTGCTGCCCATCTTGGTGTACATCTCTTCAGGTATGGGCACTTCCAGGACGGTCTCCAGGCCATCTTGTTTGTCAAGATTAGGACACAGCTTCCTTATCATCACGGCAACAGGAAGGGAAAGACAAAAGGGGAGAGAAAGAGGAAAAGGAACCCTGGCAAGAGAAAGGAAACCTTCCTCCTTCCTCTCGCCCTCTGAGCTTGAGGTTGTTCGAACGGAAACCTTGCCTTTTGCGTTGGAAGAATCAAGTTGAATCACCTGGAATGAGATAGGATTTGGAGAGCCTTGGCCTTTGGGGGAGGGAAGATTTTTTGAGGCTTGAGGTGCCCCTTGCCCGTAGGTCTCGTCGTGCACGCACGATTTTAACGGTATGTAATTCGTTTAATTTGGGATTTGGTAGCCCAGCATCAGCAAAGCAGCAGTCTTGTGTTTAGGTACAATACCGATCTCACAGATGGAATTCCCCATTTTTGTATGCAACCAAATCAATCAGCTGTAGTGGCAGCCTGTAATTGGCCAGTTCGAATTAACAACATGGCATATTGGCAATCACAGAGACAGGTGATGAAACCTTTCGCAAGCTGACTGCCCCTAGCCAAAAAAGAATGAGGAAAATCCTATATAGATTTCGTACCTGAATTTCTGTTTAATTTAGAGCTTTGGCATGACTACCAAACAATTCGGCACTTCTGTTTGGTGATGAAACAGTAATCTCCCTAGGCCCCCCTATTTATATCAATTTAAAAGGTGGTTCATACATGGGAAGATCAAGTTTCCTTCTATCTACTTCTTCCTTCTTCCTTTTTTTTCTCCCTTATACATGCATGGTATATCATACGTATAAGATTCACTTCACCTACAATTAATTGTGTTCAATTATGCAAATCTCAATCCTTTATCAGTACGAAATTTAAATAATTTCCATATATTTAAAAGTGAATATGCAATTTTGATCGAAAATTAAATGATTATAAAATTTTCGTAAACAAAAATAATACAATACTATCATTTAGTTAGACTACAATATTTAGTTAAGGTTATAATGCAATATTATTAGTTAATTAGAGTTATACTATGTATATATACCTCAAAAAATGAACCCATCATGATAATAATAATAATATTAATCTCTCAATAGCTTTCATTGGCAATTTTTTTCCTCTTAATTAGTGAAAATTAAGCATTTATAGACCATGAATAGAGAGGTAGCTAGGTTGGTACGTATTGGATATGTAACTAATTAATAAATAATTAGGTTTCCATTTGAGAAACATGGCTTAAAATATAAGTAATGGTCAATTAAAAACCTTAAAAAAAGGCCCAAAATTAATTAAATTGGCCCATTTATACAGTTCTTCCTCCTTGGTCTGGAACTTTGGGGCCTGAAGGTTTCAGCCTGCTCGATCTCCTGACAACACAGCCTAACAAACAAAACCATGTTATCCTTGTCTCATGTGGTCATGTTTCCCATTGGCGTAGTTAGTTTCTCCAGCTAGAATCAGTTTCAGTCAAAAAGTTCAAAACGCGTGTGCATTGAAGCAGAATTTTTCCAATTTCGTTTCCTAGTGTTTAATTTTAGTCCACGTGCCTTACCAATGCCAATAACCGAACATGCTTTGGCAGCGACAGAGAAAAGGCCCCCCGAGGTTTTAGTTTGTTTGTGCTTGGTGGCTTCTGAGGAATGCTTCAAAATACGGCTGGACACACCCATTTCCTTCCCCCAAGTCTCACCCATGTCCCCATTAATTTGTTTAAGGATAATGAATAAGATTCTGGGGTTTTTTGTTTATTGAGGTTTGGCTGAGTCTAGTTTCCAAAGGAAGAATGTTCATGTTCATGCTCCACAGTTACAATCGAATTGCTTTAATCAGTTTGTGTCAGCATTTAAAAGCAAAAGCTCCGTTCTCAGCAAGGCTTGACATTCTTCGAAACACATTACAAAACATATGCGGTGTTAGGTTTTGTCGACAAGCTTATCGACTAATTATATCAGAAAGACTCCCCACCTTTCTAGAAGAAAGCGTGTCACCTTCCTGCAGCAATTACTCCATTATTCTGTCCTGATGTTGAGAACGAAGTGACAAAAGTCTCGACCCTTTGCCCTTTGGGGTTGGAGGGATGTTGCCATTCAAGACAAACACAACAATACAGAGAACCTGACATGGAAGTTTACGATTTTACTTTAATTGTATCAATACAAGCTTATTAGAGACACTCTAGCTAACGTAGATTTTACAGAGAGGGAGCTGGTTTTTTTAACATTGACCACCCACCTAATGTACAAACGTTTTCGAACACAACGTTTCGCTAAGGAATTTTACGTAGCTTTCAGAGTGTAAAAACCTGATTTCATGTCATCACTTGGATTTGGTCAGTTTTAATTATATTGAATTGAGATGTTATTGTATTTTTCTATATGGCCAGGCCGGCCTTTCTCTGTTATATAGATCGACTTGGGTTCTGGAAAGCCTCAGGACTTTGTAGTTTGTAAACAAATAATTACAGGGAAAGTACACCTGATTTCCAGGGATGGCTAAACGTTTCAAGCTCAAGCTTTCTGGTGTTATACCATCTTTCCAGTTATGTCGATCAAAGAAACCTTCCAATTTGCCAGAGGCTCCAGTCCCGGCAATTCATCTGATTTCTCCGGTGAATCCTAAACCGTTAGACATCGGCTATCCGAACTTCCCTGCCCCGCCACCGTCGACACCAGACTACTCTTTCATCAAACGCCACTTGTCACCAAAGATAGCATCAGTCGGATGCGGCTGCCGGGCAAGATCATGCACTGATCAGTACTTATCCCCGGACGTAAGCTTTAAGTCACCTGACTACTCGTGGAAGAAAGAAGCAACTCGGTTGAACATAGTGGCAAAAGCTCAGAAGTCCAAGCTTCAAAGGAAAAACTATGAAGCGCCATTCTCTGATGGGCGCAATGGAGATATATCGGTGAAGAAGAAGGAAAAGAAGATGGAGAAAGTGAAGGCAATCGCGAGCGTTTCGTCACGTGACAGTGGATGTTTCACTAGCGAAGAAGCCGAGAATGAAGAGACTGAAACCTTAATCTCTACTTCAAGAAGCTTCTTGGACGATTCATCCAGTGATGAGTTGGATCAGTCACTGGAGAGTCTAACTGAGGGCTCCCACATGGAAACCAAGAAGAACAAGAAAAAAGCAAACAACACGAAGAAGATGAAAGGACGGAGAAGCTTCGGTTCAAAGAAATACAGAGGATCAAATTCAATGGTTTCGAAGACAAAAACTTCGGGAGCTCTGTCTTCGGAGAATTCGATGTTACGGCGGATGATGCCCAGCGCGGCGGCGGAAGGGAAGGTGTGGGAGAGCGTGGCGGTGGTGAAGAAATCGGAGGACCCTTACGAGGACTTCAAGAGGTCGATGTTGGAAATGATAATGGAGAAGCAGATGTTCGAAGCCAAGGACTTGGAGCAGCTGCTGCAGTGTTTTCTTTCTTTGAATTCAAGGCAATATCACGGCATTATCGTGGAGGCCTTCACCGAAATTTGGGAGGCCTTGTTCTGTGATTATCCCATGAATTGCCTCTGAATTTCAAGCCTTGAAGATGGTGAGCACTCAATTTCTTATCTAAATACCAAATTTACCATTTTTTTATTCCGATTATTAATTAAATTTCATTTGTGATCTTATAGGGAAGGAAATTGAATTCGTCCAAGTTACTTAATCAAGGTCGAAGATAGAATGAGGTAAGCTGTTGTAGGGATAATGGGAAGTATATTGTATTCTTTTGTCCCTGTTAATTATTAGAGGGTGGGGGGGCAATTAATTATAAATATATGATGTAATTCTTTATTCATGAATTATTCAAAACATGGAATAACAAGGTACTATTACACAAATTAATTTTTTAAATGAGATGTCTATTTTCCATGAAGGTGTTTAATGCCTTCTTGGACATAATTTTCATCGAACAAAATTGAGTCATGTTGACGGAAAAGACAAAGGGTCCTGCTTTGTTTTGGTTTTTGCCTTGGGGTTTATTAGGATACTACTGACATTGAGTCATGTCAACTGAAAAGAAAGCGTGCAGCTTGCCCTCCATGTTATGTTTGAATCGAGTTATCCAATCATTTTCTAGCATTTAAGGGCATTTATTTTGAACCGAAAGGAAATTAAATGAAGGAATTTCGATGCATTTTGTATATTCTTTCTTCATAGGGCAAGAAATTCAAGCTTGAGGAATTTTTTGTCAAGAAAAAATTTTAACAAAAATGTCATGATCTCACTTGAACGTAAATCTTACATTGTTAAGATAATGTTTTCAGATAAAAGAATAAAATTTCACATAAAAAAAACTCTCAGAAAAATTAAAGTAAATAATATAAATCTAAAAAAAAATTATAAACCTTATATTAATTATATACTAAAATAATACTAAAAATATAAAAATTTAAATCACCTTCAAAAACATCTTTTGTAAAATAAAACTGTAAATCAATAAATTAAAATGAATAATACTTCACATATATTGATATAAATAATGATAAAAAACATGGTGTGGTACAACCAACCTTTTAACTCGGGCAAAGAGAAAACAGTAAGAAAAATAATTAGAACCAAGCAATTAGATTATAAGAACTCACCATGGCTGGAATTTGGAGGTAGATTGATGTTGTAATGGTTTTAATTAGTAACAGTTTCCAGTTAGCCAGCTAGCCATGCTGATGAAGGAAGCAGACTGCAGGAAGCTATAATAAGAACGCCCCAGGCTCAAAGATTTCCGACTTCTTGACCGGAAAAAGCGTCGTAGAATTATCCTTTTCTATCCACTCTTAATACAATAAATACAAAATTAATGAAAATATATGAACACAACAAACAGTAGAGGCAGAATATGTAGCCTTGAGAATCAAGAAAGGCAACAGATCACCCTCGCCACAACCAGAGCAAGAAGGCTTAAAGTTAAATATGGAGTCCTTTATTTCCTCACCATTTTCCCTTACTTACATTCCGCAGTTGCGAATCTCCGGTTTTGGGCTGATAAGCAACTCGTGTAACAGCAATTCCACTCATGTATACAGTAGGACACATACCTAAATGGCGTCGCCGTGTATTTGCCTCCTTTATGGGTGGAATTGGATTGGTATTTAAGAACAAGGGTACTGTTCAAAGATGTTATTCACTGCCGCACTCTAGTAAAGAAGCCGTGCACATGTCATCCTTAAAAACCCTGATATGACAAAGCTTTCCGCCAGCCTCATCAGCAAAAGTAATCTTCCTTTCTTTGTGGATTACACGTTCAGAGGCAGCAGTATTGTCCCCAGTCGATCTCTGCAATCAAACCATGAAAATAATCAGCAAAGCTCATGAAGCATACTGTCTTCCTGCTTTTAAATGTTCTGCCATCCGCTCCATTTCCCACCCCCTCTATCCCAACCCACTGTGTTTCCTCTTAGCTTTGTTCTGCTTTTAGTAATATCAAAAGAGAAACATACCATGATTTTACAAAATCGGTTGCAATCTCTTGCCATTATAGAAAGCCATTTTCTTGCAGTTTCTTCAACTTTGGTTGCATTTTCAAGGGCTATTCTGACCTGCCAGAGTAGTGAAGTGTGGTTAGATATATAACTTCATGCATCTAACCAGATATGAATGACTTATTTCAAAAGGTAATGAGAACATTATTACTGAACTTCAAATAGGAAGAAACCACTGAAAAAATAACCCTAACAAACTTTATGTGTTAAAAAGTTGTTCAGTGATAACCCAGTAAGGTTGTACAGTTACACACCTCATCAGCATTTTCTTCTGCAGATGTGGCAGGAGAGGCTTCTGAGTGCAATTTCCCCTTCACAATGTCTTTCATAGATTTCAACTCTGTTGTGAGTTTAGTTGCTAAAGATTCAATATCCCGCATTTGGCGCTGTGAGAATGCTATTGCACTTTGTGAAAAACGTTGGACAGTGGTGGATGCAGTGCCAATACATGGTGAACGAGAAGGATGAGTAACCTTGAGAATGCCCTTAGGGGGGGACCCTTTCTTATTATGTTTTTCTTTTCTCATGATTGACTTTGGGCTGACGGTGGCTCCATCTCTCCTGAACTGGTCAAGCCCTTCAGCTCTTAAAATCCTATGATTGGTCTGCTTTCCAAAATACAGCTTCCCCCTACATTCTGATAGCATTACAACCGAATTAATGTCAAATAGATGTGGAGTGCAAAAGGACAAAGTAGTCTCCATAAACAAAACAGGAATAGTTCAATAATAGTTTACAGCATTTGAATGCAAATAACTTAGTTTGCTCCAATCTCCTTTGCAAATATTGAAATACATGAATTAACAAGTTTCTTAAGTTTTCATCACCTTAAACAGGAAAACCTAATGGATACTTTCATAATTTTAAGGCCAAGTAGATATAAGATGCTTGTGAATATCAAGAAATCTCTTTTTGTCCATTAGCCACAGTAATTTTCATGCTCCAAACGCCAACAAGTTGACTGCATAAAACATGAAAGAGAAGTAATATCGGTTGCAGTAGAATAATTCCACTTTAATAATACTTTTTCCTAGCTCACTTTTGCAGACAAAACATATGTTCCCAGAATTCTACCAGGCTACAACTAATTTGTTCCACAAATTATGATCAAGCTGTCAATTAATATTAATAAGCGAGTTTCAATATGAAGACCATTTTAAAAAGCAGGAGATACAAGTTAAAATTCCAATCTAATAGCCAACTTTAGCTAACTTACGGTGACGCTCTTTATCATCCAACCCAGTTAACTCCATAGCCTGACAAAGCCTCTCTTGAGAGGTTGGAGAAATGGCCTGAGAGTAAAAGCATTTAGTTAGAAAAACCTTGAACAGAACAAAAGTAGGGTGAAATCCAACATATTTTTGACACCTTTCTACTTGAGAGAAGCCTTTCAGGACGATGCTGCAGCTTCAATTGATGATAATCTTGAGGTCCTGGTGATGCAATAGGCTCATCAGAAGAATTGATTGCTCTGAAGGCAGACGACAGGGATTGCTTCCTTGCTGAAGGAGAATCAACAGAAACATGGACTGAATGTTTCTCATGATTCAAGCATGATGAATTCCAATACAAGCTGTTTTCACCGGAAGGGCTGATGGCGACGTTTCTAAAATTAGAAGGCCAGTCTTGTGCAGTTCCACTCTCAAAGAAGCACCCACTGCCTTCATTGATATTTTCCGAGCATTGGAGGCTATTATCACTGTCCATCTCAGGCACTTCGTTTTGGCCGTAAGTGCTTGTCTGCCAAGCCATCTTGTGCTCAGAAGAATGACTTTTGAAGCTGTCATGGAAATCAGGACAATGATCCTTTGGTGGAGACATTGACTCTGAGGAAATATCATAGGGTAGCAAGTAGACAGCACCTTCTCTTCCAAATTCTTGCAAATCCAAACATTGATAACTGATTGTTTCTGGACTATCTACCTTTACAATCTCCCAACCAGAAAACCTGACATCAAATTTAGGATCAGCATCTTCCATATAATCATAGGACAGCCCTTTCGGAACATGAGATACAGGTTCTTCTATGGGATACAACGAGACCACCGTTTCCAAACCACAAGCAATGGTTGTCTCAGGAACTTGAATCAAACTATAACTGCTTGTCTGCCATGGCATCTCATGATTGGTAGAATTACTTTGGCAGCTATCATGAATGTCACAGCTATAATCCTTAGTTGGAGACATTGGTTCTGAGGAGACATCATAGGGAAGGGAATAGATGATATAATCTTCTTTCTTAAATTCTGGTAAGTCTGAATACTCGTAACTTATTATTTCTGGACTGTCTACCTTAATAATTTCCCAACCAGAATCCCCCACCTCAAACTTGGACACAGGATTTTCCATATATTCATAGGACACTTCATTAAGAGAACAGAATTGAGGTTCTTTTGTAGGATTAGGCACTTCAGTCTCCAGAATATGTACATTTGTAGTTTCAGGAACCTCATTAGATACAGTAACAAAAGAATCCACTTGCTGACTGCAACTAAAATCAGAAACATAGGTATCACTGAAAAAGGTTTGGCCCGAGTAACCAGGCCCAGGAACCTCAACTTTAACATCAATAGGTGCAGGCCAATTCCCGTTTGGTTGCAGGAAATCTTCACCACTATTAACCTGCTCAGATTTAACTGCAGGCATGGCATTAGGAGATGAAGCAGAGACGCTTTTCCTCAAACACTTCTTCTTACTCTTCATATTGTTGGACAGTTTAGATTTCCAACTGATGATAGGCTCTTCAAGATCATATTCATCATCCTTGTGCTGAAAGTTAGGAAATTCATATTTTGCACTAGACCAAGTTTCCACGGTTTCCTCATTTAAACCAACAGAGTTCAAGCGTTTCCTTTTCTTTGTTTTACATCTCTTTTGAATCTGTTTCAGCGTCATATTGCCAAAGCTAAGATCATCCAGGTCATTATTTCCTCCCCTGCCGTCATTGTTGCAGTTAAAATCAGATGCTTCAGGTTCAGTTTTGATTTTTATACCTCTCACCAAAGGTGAGTCTGGGCTCTCCACCTTGACCACACAACATTTTGTTGGCGAGCTCTCCAAGTCATCCCTTAGGTGGATTTTTGGAGCTTGATTATGATATATGGCGTCCCTTAAATTCAATATTTCCTTGATTTCCTTAAATTTGAGTGTTGGTCGCCCACGAGTATCCACATTTATGAACTTTGCCACTGAGCCACCTTTAATGGCCTGGATAAAGTGCAAATGGGTCGAGCTCCTTAACTCCATTAGATTCAACACTAGACTTAAATGCTTGCCTGCATTTTTGTAAAATATTCCTTTCTTCAGAAACTATTCATAAGTAAACAAAGCCCTAGTTACATGACAAGATGAAACATTGCTAGTCTAGTTTTTCTA